TTAAACGAATAATAATTATTTCAGTCATTTTGTTGTAATTAAATAATATTTTTTGTGAGGATTTGAAACTTTTGCATAGTAGGTTTAATATATTATTATATTTTATATTTACAGTGACATTTTCAAAATATTTAGGACAATTTTAAGCAACTGTCAATTTATTTATTTTTTTTTTTTTTTTAATATTATTCCCGACATTGTAGTCATCTTAGCTTTTTGCTAAAACGTATCTATCATTTTTGACATTTGGAAAAATAGATATCAATAATATAAGTCAATAAAATAAGATAATGTTACAATCTTTAACAATATATACCGTAGTCTAGAATGTTATAATATTTATGAACTGTGAACAATTAGAAGATGTAATAATAATATCATAATAGAAGGTTAAGTTGGCGTACGCAGGAGGTGGGTCACTTAGTCTGTAGAATTTCACACTGGTTCACAGTCTTCACAGCAGAATGTATGTGATTGAAAAATTTGATTACTAATTTTTTTATGTACTCAGTTTTGTGACTAGCCGGAAGTATCCGTGAAGTGCGAACAAACCGTGGAGGATTTGATATTGTCCTCAGAACTTTAGATAGATGCATCTATTTAGGTATACGGTATACCACAAACTCTTTCACTGCGTTGAGCGTTCTACATAAAATCGGTATCGACTTAAAAATTAATAACATAATAATAAGTGGATACTGGGTACATGATGTAATATAGTTATATACCATTATAACTAATAAGATTATGTATAGGTAACCGCGGTTACAACCATTGTGAAATGTATGTACCTAACTATACAATTTTAATTTTTCGCGATTTAAACAGTCGTGAAAGTTCTCAGTGGCGTACACATAGATATTTTCGACCGGAGGGGTTACTTAAAAAAATGATATGCGTATATGTATACCAAAACGTTTTTTTATTAATTTTATAATTTGTACACATCTATATATACCTACCTATACATATAGTAAAAAATACCAAGGGGGTGGTTTGAGCGACCAAACTCCCCCCCTCCCCTCCCAAGTGTGTACGTGGCTGAAAGTTCTATTATATATAGGCGCATAGCTGATAATATATTTAGATATTCTATATTTCTATAAAATAATATTATCTATGTAATATGTTATTGGTCTTATTATTAATTACTATTATAAATTATAAACTACTATACATAATATATACCCATCGAGATTAAGCCGCGGGTCAGTCTCAATGCCGACGCCCGACGAAGAGGTATCTTCGAATCCGTAAAGAAACTTTAGGCTATACTTTTATAGCACTGTGTCATTTTTCGTTGTCTGTTACTGACATTTAGATGCGAACCGTAAAATAGAAACTCGTTTAAAAAAAAAAATGTACACCACCTTGTCAGTTATGAAAATGGTATGTAAAACATATGTAAATCGCATCACCACAACGAGGGCGGTAGGAAGAACAAAGAGACAATATATTATATAGGCGTATATATAGTCTAATTATTATAAAAAAAAAAGGAAGAATATCGATCCCATCGGTTATAAACCGAATTCCCTATACGATACACATAATATTAGGTATACATTATACAGGTATAGATGGTAGGGATTATATAAATATTTAACATATTTTCATATAATATATAGGAGGATGGGAGGGGGGTGGACTATTCTTTTAACAGTGCATACCGCGATTACCCATCTCGGAAAGTGTTGACGTTTTTGAAAATATTTTTCAACATAACATTTAAGGTCATTATAAAACTTTATTATTGAAAAAAAAAAATCTGAAAGAATTTTTATAGTTTCAGCTAGCATTTTTTTTTTTTTTAAATATTTTTACTCTTGAATTAGGTAAAGCATATTATGCATTTTTGATTTCATATTCAATTATTTCCGAACCATATAATATTCACATTTGACTACTTTTCATAAATAAATAAAAAAAAACCTATTCAATGTTTAGATGAGGATATCAAGCCGGGCACCCCGAAAAATATTGGACCACTACCACTCCGCCAATCAAAGTTTAAATAGGTACCTACTAGTTGGTAACTAATAATTAACTGCTCGCTGGAATTCAATTTGCATGCCTCCATAAAAATTCAAAGAAAAATAATCTTCTAGGAATATGGTAATATGCAGGTCATTAAGAAGACGCTTCACCCGCATGTGTTGTCTCTTTCTTACAAATGTAAAACATAGCAAAAATTGTTTTTCGCTCAAACTGTAGTCCAAGCTAAGAAACCTAATGTTTGCACTATAAAAAGGAGAACAGTTACTGTTTAATATTGTTTTATTTTACTCGATATCACAAATATAAAAAAAAAATTACTGTATAAAAAATCATTATTTTTGAGTTTTTCAATATGGAATTACTTTTTTTTAGTTCTGATATCGAAAATATAAAAACCACGTTACACAGTAAATGATATCCTCTTAATAATATTGTGAAATTTGTCTGTTAAGATTGGATTACAGCCCGAGTGGTTCTTAGCCACGCAAAACAGTTTTTTCTGTTTTACATTTGTAAGATGGAAACAACAAGTAATGCGGGTGTACCGTCCTCTTAAAAATGTTATGAAAACGATAACGACAAAATAAACAAAATATACTGAAACTAGTATAACTATTTTAATAGTAGTAGGTAGTAGCCAGTAGGTACAACTATATTATAATATAATATTTAACTTTTTTGTTTTGTGATAATAACTTAAATAAATGTAAAAATGTTTTTTCAAATACTAAAACACTTAGATATAACGAGACATAATAGTGTTTACTGTTAAAATAAACATACTGTATATTGCCATTGGCCTGGGACAAAAATTTAATTTTTATTTTTATCGATTAAACTATTTTTTCACAAAGATATAGACATTTTATTCAGTTGATAATATAATTATTATTGTTGTGAATTTGTGATGATAATAATAATAAAACATAAATTTTATTTAATTAAGTCATTAAGATTTTATATAGCTGATTAAATGTTATGCCCTCACCCAACTATATTAGTTTTATTTTATTCTCTCTAAGCGTAAATACTAAACGTAAATATTTATTAAATTTTTTATGTGAATAATTTTTCTGTAAAGATTCTCAATACCAATATATAGTGTAATTAATAATAAGTTAACTATATATAGGCAATAACATTAAATTTAAGCTAATAGAAAAGTAAACTTTTAACTTTCTGAAGTCTGAGGAATTAAAAATATGAAAGATAAGAGTTTTGTACATAAAATGTATTTATTTATTAATAGCTATTTAAGTTCATAAAAAAAATGATTATAAATTAAAATTCTTCATTGCATGAAGAACTGAGCTATTTACTTTTGATAATCAGAAAAAAAATAAAATGTTTGAAACTATATTATTATGTGACTTTATATATTCGTATAAAAATCATATTATCTTACATTATAAGTTATTACCGTTGAAGTAGCGTTACTGAACCGAATGTCACTCACACTGTCTATCCTAGTAAATTTGTATTTATTATATTACCATTTTACTTGACTATGCAGATTGATAATATTCCTTTTTATTAAAAAAAAAAAAGGTTATTGATAGCCCCCGATTTTATATCAAAATAAAACGTTGAAAAATCATTTATAAACGCCAAAAAAAATATTTATTTAACTTAAGCTTGGAAAATACCAAAAAAAAAACTTTTCTCTTTTCAAAATCAAAACAGTTAATTTAATAAAACCACAATAACCTTTATTCCAATAATTATTTTATTAGCCATCTATAATCTGTATTAGCTAATATCTTGTTAACAAACGAATTAATTTCGACAATGAAACAGTAAACACGAACACACACAAACATTTCAGCATTTCCCTTATATTTCTGGCGACCATATTAAAGTAAAGGTAACCTGGCTAGTGGCTAGTAAAAATTTAATTCGATCGAAGGAATTTTGTCATTTTTGTAAAAATTATGTAAAAAAACATATTTAAGGTAAAATGTAAAATAAAGCTTACCTATTTAATAGTTAATTTATATACATAATATATCTATAATACAAGGTGATTCTTTTATCATGAAACACTCATTATTTCAAAAAGTATTAATCCTATTTGAAAATATTTTTTACATACTTTCAAGTTGTTAAAAAAACAATGGTTTTATTAAAAAATCATGTTTTTAAATATTTTTTATCCTTATGTTTTTTTAAGTTTTTTACTTTTTGGAATGACAACAGAGTTTTAATTTCATATTCCAAAGCGGAATATTATTTCAAGTATTTTGATACATAAAAATCGAATTTAGGACGAGTAAGTTGTATTTAGTATACATTCTAAATAATAACTGTTCGAAACATATCATAAAAATATAATCATAACACCCGTTGAGAGGAAATATCTAGCCTCAAATGGAAACAAATATGGAATAAATGAGAAATTAACGAAATTCTTAAGTAAAATAATATTATAATGAATGTACGAGATTTGAATAATATGGAGACGATGCACAGTGAACAATTTTCATCTCCATCTACAGCTAAATCACCAAAATTCTCTTGTCACTGAATTATCATCTATTTTCTTTGTCTAGCACTTCACAGAGTTAGGAAAGTGTGAAATTTCTTCCTAGAAACCCACATTATCTTTAAATCCAAATCATTTTAAACTAAGATCTCTTTTATGTGTAATAAATCTCTGTAATTATTTATTGCAACTATTGGTACCACACGATTCATAATGACAAAGATGTGTAAGTTTCCTCACCACAATTTACTCGTTAAACGTACGTCTATGTGGTTTACACACATGACACATTTTTTTTATTGTGGTGTCCCGGTAGGCATAGTCCACATTTTAAGAAAGTCTTTTACAGTTGTATGGATGAGATCAATGATTTTATAGTAAATTTATGCTGGTCTGCGAAATATTAAGCACCTAACGGGAAATATCGAGCCTCTAATCGGAAATATTTAGCCACTAATGGAAAATGTATGAATTATCAAGCGAATCACACTTATTTATCGCACCGCGCGTCGTCATTGAATCACACTTCTTTATCGCACCGCGCGTCGTCATTGAACCACACGTCGTCAAGGCACCATCCGTCGTCAGCGATCCGTACGTCGTCAGCGATCCGTACGTCGTCAACGATCCGTACGTCGTCAGCGAACCGTACGTCGTCAGCGAACCGCATGTCGTCAGCGAACCGCATGTCGTCAGCGAACCACACGTCGTCAGCGAACCACACGTCGTCAGCGAACCACACGTCGTCAGCGCACTGCACGTCGTCAGCGAACCGCATGTCGTCAGCGAACCGCATGTCGTCAGCGAACCGCATGTCGTCAGCGACGTGCACGTCATAAACAAACATAAACGTACGTCAAAGAACCACACTTCGTTAACAAACCGCGCATCAGGACCTCTAGGATGCCATCGGCACAATCCCAATCTTTATATGGAAATTATCGAAGATTTTATGGGAAATTTATGCTATTCTATGAAACACCAAACCACTAATGGAAAAGATATAAATGAAATAGTCGGGGAATTTCAAAGTGGTTTTAGAAAAGGTAGATCGACATTGGACCATATTTTTACACTGAGACAGATAATGGCTACATTTTATAAATTTGATAAAGAACTGCACCTCATCTTTATAGACTATAAATAAGCTTATAACTGCATTGACAAACTATGAGAAGCACTGGAAGTACTATCAAGTACGTAAGTGGTAAGTCTTATAAAAGGATGTAACAATAAAAATGTATGCATAGGTCGTCTTCTGCAGGAAACGTCTGAAACCTTTGAGGTAAAGTCAGTAAATGAGAGAAGTATGGGATGGTTGAAAAATGGAAATATGTGGGGAACAAGTAATATTGGCATACGCAGATGACACTGTGGTAATGGAGGAGACGAGAAATGAAGTGAAAAATACTTGTCCAGACTTTTAGCAAGTAAAATTATGAGGCTAAGTAATACAGGACTACGTGCAAATTGGGAAAATACGAAATCAACGATCAAATAACATGCGGAAATCGGTGCTACTATAGCAAAATGAAACTTCTTAAATCAAAACTACTTGCACAGAGTCACATAATTCAAAGACACTATATTGTATCATAGCCATCTTACGCCCAATTATGACATATACAAGCAAAACATGATCACTGACCAAAGAAGACAGCAAACGGCGAATGACCTTCGAAAGTAAGGTACTGAGAAGTGAGAAATATATTTCTAAATAATATTATTCAACACAGAATTTCAAACATATGAAAGAAGAAAAAAATTAAGAATAATACGAAGACGGTGAGTCCCGAACAGTTTTTTTTCAATATGTTGCAGCCTGCAGGGTATGCTTATTGCTTATACATAGGTACCTAAAATGTATCAAGACCGCATTTTGGCCAGACTATACATAATTTTTCTGTGCCGGGGCAAATTTTTTTTTTTTTAAATTTGTCTCAAGTTTCGGCCACTCTCATGGCGATTTTAAATTATTATTAATGAATTATTTAAATGAGAAATAAAAACTTTTTGGTTATATTAAATATTTTATGTATGACTGAGGATTTCAGGATTTGTTTTATATACAATCTTTTTAGATACTCTAATGTATATGTATAAATATTTAAATTTAAATTTAAATAATTTAAGTATTAACTTAGTATTATTACTTATTAGGTATACAATATGCATAAATCATTAGATTATTAGATGGAAAATATAAAGACTAATTATATAAGTCCAATATAAATTAGCCTGCCTCGTTGTTAGCATATCTTTCAATAAGTTAAGTTGAAATGACGCTCCTGTGGTTTATAGTGCAAAGTTAAGAGCATTTTTTAAATAACTTAAGTGTATTGAAGAACAACGAATTTGGAAAAAGGAAATACTATTAGGTGTAATAATAATTATCGACCTCTGATAGCTTTAAAATTAGTTGTTTACATTTCAAACAGCATAATAGGTATGTATATCATTATTTATTAAAATAGTAATTAATAATATTAAAATAATTTAACTTTTTTAAGGGACTACGGTCATTATTTAAGGGGCAACACTTAGGCAGTTCCTAATCTTGTCATATCCGCCCGGGATCTATGTGTTAATTGTAAATGATTATAATTATTTGTGTGAGTGAAATTAAATGCGGATATCCTAACGCGTACGCGCATGCACATGTCAATAGTTTTATAACCATATGAATTTCAACTAAACGAATGTTACAAAAACAAAACATACATTTTGTTTTGACAAAATTAAAGTTAGTTAACGTTGTCCGATTTTGATTCTGAAAAAATATTTGAACTCAGCAAAAAAATGTCTGTGGATCGTACGAAACATTTTCCGTTTTTAATATAAATTTTAAATTTAATTATGATTCGAAAAAGTTGATATTTTCAAGTTTTCAATTACAGTTCACAATAATATAAAATTTAGTTTTTACAAATTGCTTCGTAGGATCTATAGACAATTTTTTTTCAGAATCAAAATCGGACAACGTTAACTAACTTTAATTTTGTCAATACTTTAGGTCTTTTCAGCTAAAATTGACGGCATTAGCGAGCCCCCTTAAATTAAAATAATTAAAAAGCGAACAGATTTTCAAACATCACATTTGGCGCTGGGGCAGTTGTATCTATTGCTCTCCCGCCTAAATGACTAAATGTGGCCCTGTATTAGTATACACAATAAATACTAAAAATACTTTATGTTTATTAAACAGGTGTGAGCAAATAATATTATATTATTATGTATACATTATATATTTATATTTACAAGATCTATATAATAATATTATCTTACTTACCTACTTGGTTTATAGGTATCTAGCTAGTAGTTTACCTTGGCTGAGCTGTCAAACATCTGACCAAACAAACATTTTTTTGTCGAAAATAATTAAAAATAAACTAATAATATTTTAAATTTTCATCTATACTATAAAAGCAAGTCCAGATTTTGTGTCACGGGTTGTCTCCGAAATGGCTTGACCGATTTGGCTGATTTTTTATTAGTTATGTTCGTAATTGTCAGGATCCGGTTGTTATGATAGAACATTTTTGGAAAATCTACAGGAAAAGTAGGATATCTGCATGATAGAGTTTTAGATTTGGGGGGGGGGGGCTAAAGCCTTGCTTTGATAATATTAAATAAGCTTAAAACAAAATGTAGGAAATGTTTGGGGGTCTATGGACATTTTTTTTAAAATTTTTACTGAAAATAGGGCGTATTAGAATATCCTCCCCGGGTATCAAAATCTATAAATCTAGCCCTGCCTATACCTATTCTTGGGAGTTCAACAGTGATTTTGGGTAGATTTATTTCAGTTTTTGCAATAGGTACATTGAAATAAGTACTGTACACTCAATATACCTATTATAAAATGTACCTATGTATTTTACTAATTTTCATATGCATATTAATTATTCTTTAATATATTGTATTGATACAAAATAACTAGTAATCGTTCCCGGTTATGCATCCCCTAATCACATTAGTCAGTCAATAAACCTAATAGCATGTCAAGCATATTGATACAAATTAACTAATGTAAGATACAAATCTAGATAAAAATTAAATATTCTATCTTCATATTAAACTATATATTTACTTAGCTAGGTAATCTATTATAATAATAATATTATCTATAGATATTTTTTTTACTATCTAAAATCGACACTTCTAAAATCAAAACAATTTCTTACTATCACGCAAGCTCAAAAACTTTTCGATATTATTGTTTAAAATGTATTAATCATTGAGGTACATCCAACTATTTCGGATCCGTGTTGTGATAAAAAAAAACCTTTGATCGTGGAAAGCTGCGTCCATTGTTGATATGTAGATCTTTGAATTTAAAACTATGTCATGGTTTTATATTGAAAATAAAATTACAATTAATCCTTCACAAACAAAAGTTAAAAACAATTTGGAATACAAAGAAATTACAAATTAAAACGGCAATCGGAAAAATATAAATAAAATTCGTGAAAGTAAAAACTGATGTACTTATATAATGTAAAAGGTTTTTGAATACAACTGAAACAATATAAAATATATAAGTAATAAATAAACAGTGAGAATCGGTATTGGTTTCCAGACATATTATTATTTGGCCAGCATTAATATTATTTTATTATAATATAACATAATATTAAAATGTTTTTAAACGTTTTAAATTATGTTTGTAGCCAAAACTCAATAATAATAACTATGTACCTACCTACGTGTAGGTGTAAACATACATATTATGGCCAGGGCCGTCCTAAGTCTCAGGTAAATAAAAATTCGTGGCTCCTAAAATTATAGATTAATTTAGTTAGGGTGTCAATATTGTAACTGTTACTTTGTTATTGAAATCAGAAATACGGTAAATATGTGAAAATTAGAGTTAATTATTTTGTATGCCTACCAGGTATCTAGACTACATATTAATATTAAATTTTATACACAAAATTACATTTTCAAATGGTTAAAATTGGTAAAATTGCAGCTATATATAAGTGCAAAATAAACTGTAGTCTGTATTACATATTTATACTATATTAGCTCTGCTGTGTATACAGTTTTATTTAATATTATATTATAATAGCATAGGTTTAATTAGTTATAATTGTCATAAGCAATGTATTGGTAAATACCTACAATGTGTATACACTAAAATAAACAAAGTCAAACAATAATAATAAACTTATAAACGTAGGTATTGACACAAAAAATTTCAAATCCCAACGTATGATATTTTTTTATATTACTGACATGCTAAAATCGTTTTGTTATTTAAATATGATCCGATCTCTGAATCTCGTAACAATTTTGATATAAAAAAAATATTATTCGTATATTTTAAACATTTTTAATCTACTGCATAAACAACACATAAGAACCTTTATTGCATTTTCAAGCTTTTTGCAACAGGGATGGCAAAAAGTGGCACCCTAAAACATTTTAAGGGCACGCAAAAAATATTCATATTCATATTCATATTATTTTTATTATTATTATTTCATGTTATTATTATTTTATATTATTTTTATTTTTAATAATAAATTACATCACAATGCAGTTAGTCATTTTTCAGTATCGTTGACGCCTTTTAGAAAAGATTAAAAAATTAAAATATGATAACGAATTTTACGATAATTTTTTTTTCTTACAGTTTATTATTGATTATTATAATTTGTAATATTTTTCATAATTTAATGGCACGCTCGAAAAAAAAGGTAATTTTTGACAAGTAGCGTCAAAATAATTGGCCACCCCTGCACTATAATATTATATGTATAGGTAATCCATAAATGGAACGATATGACTATATTATTATGTGAAAAATTAACGTAATACGTAAGTCTTCTGCAGAAGGCGTATATTTGTGATATCCGTTGTATTCGTAGGTTAGGTTATAGGTAGTACTGCTGTTTCCATTTTCCTGTACTAGTTATTTCTAAACTAAAATTAAAAAATTCAAACTGTTTTAAAATCGCTTATAAGAAAATATTATATAATATGATATACAAATGTTGAACTATTATTTATTGTTACCAAAAAGCGACTTTTTTGTTCGAAAGAATGATCAATACGATAATCGAAACTAAACGGACGATGAAAATTCGCAATCGGACGAACGAGTTAAGTATAAACATTAGGTACAGAGAATATTTCCTGGACAACGAAGAAACGAGTAAGTTTTGAAGCTGATTATACTTTCAAACAGAATGTAGATAATGTACCTACATAATATGTATATTATATTAGAATAATACATGCACTGTATATCATGAAATGTGCTCGATTTCTACAATTTGTACACTTTTCAATTTTAAAATACGACTATAAACGGTTCTTAATATATTTGTTGTTAATTATTAGAGTGAACGTTAGTTTTAATAATTTTTATATTATTGTTTTCAATAAAATACATATATATTAATTGGGTTGATACCTAAGTGGTTAAATGTTATTTATAACTAACAGGTACTGCTGGCACAAAACTAAAATATAAAATTAACACATTTTGGCGATCATTAATTATATAATACCATATAGGTACCTATAGTGGGAATTATATAATTTTTACATTTTATTAGTTTTAGTTTTATTAGTTTTATTTCCAATTTCCATGGCCATAAACAAAGCGTTACGCAAAATCGGTTAGAAAATAAAAATGTCTGTACACATGGTTATGTGTTTTCGATATTTTTTATCTGTTATAAGAACAATTAATATTAAGGACCTTGTATTGCATTTTCTAGATTTTTAATTATAAATGAAATGTAGCTACATACGTAAATGGATAAAAATTAAAATAAGTCCACAATTTATTACAAAATATATTATAATTGTGTTATAAATATAGCCCAAATGAGATCCAAAATATTTTTAAAATAGTATTTTGTCTTGAAAAAGCAATAGCAAGTATTTCGTACAAAAATAAAGTGGCTACGATTATTATTTATTTAAAAAATTTTTCGATGTACAAACTAATAATATATTAAAAAAACACACATCATTGTAAAACCAATACATTCATCTCTCCTATGAGAATATAATTTATTTTTTTATCTACGACTATGTTATTGTGAGATATTACCGTCAATCGCAAGTTTTCTAAAAGCACATTCATGATATCCGTACCTACCTATAGTTGTTTTCGTCATCCCACATTCAATACCTACTGCTGTTTCTCGTTCTATATAGTTATTTTAAAACTTAAATTAATTTTAACTGTCTAAAAATGCATTTTATAAAAAAAATAATATACACACATTATTGAACTATTATTAATTATAATATTTGTATAAAGTGACACTAAAATAACTTTTTTAAAACTGGAAAATAATTCGTATGAAATTAAAACTGTACTGACTGTTAGAAAATTCACAATCGGAGGAACGTACAAACAATACATATACCTACTTAGCAGTTAGCGTACATCTCCTGGGCAACGAAAAAAGCTCTTACCTATATGAGTTTTGAAGCCGGACCATGTTATTTCCAAAAAAAATGTAATACGTACATAATTCATAGGTAGTTTTGGCTCGATTTATATTTTATACATTGCTCACACTTTTTAATTTTAGTTATTCTATCATGTACACTTACAACTTAGTAAAGCCAAAATGACTGCGAGAATTGTGATACGACAGAAGACGTAGACTAGCAGTTTTAAGTTTACTATTATCAAGTATATTACAATCCAAGTATAGGTATATCGGCTCAGTCTTATTATTAGAGCACACGGAAAAAAAAATTAAATTTTTTTTATATTTGAAAACTTCAAAATTATATTGTTAAATCAACTAAATGAATTTTAATTAAAACTATTGTGTATCTGTTAAAATAACTATTCTAATATTGTTATATTATTACAGCATTGGTAAACAATATTATTTTTAAAACAACTACATTTATGACAATAATAATAAATGTATATCAGTTGAAATAATTATTACTTCCTCGATTATTGATAAACAACTGAATTGATTAAACACTTAAAACAACTTATATTATGGTTGATTTAACAAAGATTATAGTTAAAATATTTGAAGGGGACTGCTTCCGTGTCTTTAATAAGGGGCAATATTGTGACAATATGCAATTTCAATTGCCGCCCATGGCATTTGTGTAAGTCGCCAACGATAATCAGTATCTATGAATATATGAAAACTAGTCAAAATATTTTGAAAATTTTATCATGTATAGAAAATGATAAAATAAACATTTGATGAAAATGTCAAGTACCCACAGTTATTAATTTTTAAATAACAACAAAATCAGAAAATCATTGTAAGAGAATTTGTCAATTTATGGGTGAATCCAATGTCTAACTCCAAAATAATTAATTTGACATTCCGGTTTCTTAGTGGAATGTTATATTAAATTTTCAAAGCTTAGATAGAAATATGAAATTTTTTATGAATTTCTAACTAGAAATAATTTGCTAATTTTTGTGATTTTTATGAGTTTGGTCTTTATATTATTAACTTGACGCTCTTAATTTTTTTTTTGTAGATTTACACAACTTTTCCCTATGGAAAATCCCTACATTCATTACTGAGCTTGAAATCAGAAAAAAAAAAACATTAATCACAAACAATGATTGGATTTATAATTATAAGCTATAGAGTATGATCATACACCACCTTAATGCTTTAGTATTATCAAATTCAATTAATGAATACATTTACATAAATTATGAATTATAATATGTTATGTTTATGAACTTAAAATTTTAATTCAGTCAATTTTGAGTATGCATGTTATTCAATTTATTAAATAATTATAGGGCAGCTTTAATTATATTTTGTACGGTTTGGTTAAGAAGGACATGAGGTCTTAGCTCAGTATCAACACCTACTGTCCTACTATATAGTAAATTTAAATCAGAGAATCGAAACTAACAACATATTTAAATATAGATAAAAATAAAAATAATCAATATATTTTGAAAAATGTTTAAGCCCACTGAAACCCAAAATCAAATTGTGTCAAAAACTGGTTTTTTGTAAAAATTTACGGATGATCCTTAATTTTATTTACATGATTATTTTTAAAATACTGGGAATTTATTACTTTTTACTTCTCAGAAAACCAATTTGCTACCAGAACCAACCCCAAAATTGAAAATACACATATCATTATAAAATAATCCACCACTCCACTCTGAAATCAAATATTAAATAGTAATAATAGTGAATAAGGGGGACGAGGTGGCCGAGCGGTCTAACGCGTCGACTGCGGAGCTGGCAGTCGCGGGTTCGCCTCTCGACCACTGGGCGGCATTTTTCTCCGGGCAAGTCACGGTGTCCAGAGTACAAGTGCCGCCATCCACCAACCCGGGGCATGGCAAAAACCTACGGGTGCCCCAATAAAAATTCTGCCACCACTAACACACACGTGTACCAACCTACCCAATCTAAAAACCTACAGTTCCCTACCAACACCCAATGGCCTATGTTGCCGTGGGTTATCCAATAAAAAAAAAAAATAGTGAATAATGTTGTAAGATAATAAACATAAAGTGTTATCTTGTTTAATATAATAAATACTTTTTGAGAAAACTCAAAATACTCTAAGCTTTTTGAATTAACAATCATTAATAAAACTATTTTTAAAATAAATTTCTATATTAACATTTAAAATCAAATACAAATTAATACACAGTAAAATTAATAAAAAAAATTGACTTAAATAAAAAGTAATTCATTTTTCCTAAATATATTATACTTATCACTTATTCAACATTTGATATTTTTATTTTGTAGCATTTATAATATTTACTTATCTAAATATTACTACAATAAATTAGATTTTGATTATGTTTGAAATTATTATTTTAGTATTCCTCCAATTTGTAACATTTCGTCAACATCGACAATTTTTTCTCTAGGTTTACCATGTTTCATTCCTCTTTCCACTTCGACTTTGTCGATTTTCATCCACCCATTCCAATCGACAGTAATTATGTCTAAAACAATATTTGGATTTAAATTATTTTTTTCTATTGACTATTCCGGAAACTATATTCAAGCTAATATGATGATACCTTTATCTTTTAATACTTTTGAAATGTAATCATACCCTGGCTTTCGCTCACCAAGCAAGCCTTCATCAAAATGTTGACCGATTAACGTAGCTGTTTGAAAAGCATTACTCATAGTCGACAATATTACTCCCACGGGTCCCGAAGACAACCAACCAACACTATAAACACCTTTAAAAGTGAAATATGTTAAATTATATAAAGTCAAAAAATTAAAATTAATTAAAACACTATACCTGTACTTTGAGGTACTGTTGAAGACATTTTATCAAAAGGTATTTCAGGATCTGCTTGAACACTTCGATATCCAATACTACGAAAAGCCAATTCACATTTTAATGTATACTTTTCATCTGTAACCACTGCTCTATTTCCTACAAATATTTTTGTTTGTCAAGAATTATTAATATTCATAAAACTTTATTACAATTGTTGCACCTTCTAAATAGTTTACAGCCAGTTCGATTCCTTCTATTTTTGATGTACCTAATAATGAGATAGGTGTTCTCAGGAACAATATATCAAACAATTTATTTCGAACTTCTGTTTTTTGTGATGCATCGTGCATAAGTTGTATTAACCGTTTACGAGGTCTTGGTAAATCTGTTATAATTACATATAAAATATAATGTATAAATAAAAAAATATATTATAATATAAAATAGGTAAGTTTTAATTTATTTAAAAAATTACCATTAATGACTTTATCTATATCATTCATTTGGTCTTCAAAAAAATGTGTGCTCACTCCAGGTAATTTTAACATTTCTCTTAATTCTTTAATTGTAAATGCTACTTGTAATGGACCTCTTCGACCCACAAGAGTGACTTTTTTCACTTTACTTTGTGTCAAAGCCTCTAAACTATATTCTGTGATGTCCGTTTTCTGAAAGAAAAAAAAATTTAATTTAAATTATCTAAGGCTATGATTAAAAACATCAACTGTACCAACTCTAAGTTCATCAACAGGTGTTAATAATATTCTAGCAACATCCAAAGCAACATTTCCTTGTCCTACAATAACAGCATGTTCAACATCCAAATCTACTTTAATATTTTTATCTGCTGGCAAACCATTATACCATCCTATAAATTTTGTAGCTGACACAACATTGGATAAATTTTCACCAACAATATTTAATTTTCTGTCTTCGTCAGCTCCATAAGCCTAAGTAAATAATAAACATTTTATAATAGTGATATATAAGATATAAATATATTATTTAACTGTCACATGACTTAACGCATTATTGAAACTTACTAATACTACGGCATTATATGAATGTTTAAGTTGGGCCAACGTAATATGACAGCCAAGTGAGACATTTCCTATAAATCGTATATTTTCATTTGACGCAGTTTTAGTAAATGTGTTTATAACATTTTTTACTTCTGGATGATCAGGAGCTACACCATAACGTACAAGTCCAAATGGAACTGGCAATCTTTCATATATATCAATCTGACAGCCAGGAATTTTCTTAAACGGAATGAATTAAAAAAATTTGTTTAAATATTTACATGAGTTTTATATTACTTTTAGTAATTGTTGTGCACAGTAAAACCCTGCAGGGCCAGCACCTACAATGCCGACTTGAAATCTGTTGACGTCTTTTGAATACTTTCTTATAGCATGACTTAAGTACCTCCATCGCATCTGTAATCTCAATTAAAGTTTTTATTGGTATAATATAATATATTACTAATGTATACTTTATATAATAGGTAAATTAAATTAGTCACATTATACAATTTTATTATAAACAAATAAAAATTATTTTCAAGCATTACAAAATAAACATTAATAAATAGTTAAATATTAAACTAAATATCAATTAGGTACTTTTTAAAATTGAATGATAACATTTACTGAAATAATAGTAGGTGTCCACTATTTAGAAAGTACACTTTCTCATAAAATGAAAACTTCATAATTTCTATTAATTTGTACACAGTTTAGACTAATCATAAGATTTATTATGCTTGTTAACTAAATCTTCAGAATATATTTTTATAGTAAAAAAAAGAAATCTTAATAGTTAATACATCCAACATGGTAATCACTAAGTTTCTTTTGGAAAATTTAGGAACAATCTTCAAACAAAACTCTAAACTAAAAATGTAACTAATGTATTTTTCCCAGGACACTCGATGAGATCCAAAAAATTACAGTTTTATGGGAGTAATTGTTAACAATTTTTTTTTAAGAGTTCCATTCCAATAAAAACTATTGTTATCTATACTTATCTTTAGTTTTACAATAGTAAAATAGTTTTTACTTACAATTCGTTGATTTAAAAATGCAACAGATATAAAATCAACGTGTTTTTAATGGTTCGAATGAAAATTGCATTTATTTTTTTACTACAAGTGTACAAGAAGTGATTATTTTAATGTGGTTTAACCGCTGGGTAGTAGGTATCGGACTGTTGGCACAAAATACAAAATAATATACAAAATACAGATGCGAGTGATGTGACTGTCGAGCACAGAACAATATTATGGTTATAGCACGATTAGGATATCTTTAATCGTGATGTGTAATTTGTTATCAAAGTAAATTGTAAACATCACAGACTGTGATAAACATAAACAACATACAACTGTAATCAGTGCAAATATTGTTGATGGTTGAAAAAAGTCTGACGAAAAAATTGGCAATTGAATTGCTTACCGTTAGCAAATAACATTATTGCTTAAAAATCGTACGACATGGAAAGACGAATCATATTCGTTTAATCGTTTTACATCACAATGATCAGTGATAAATTTAATGATAAATGATAAATGTTATACCTATTGTTATACTTATTAGCTCGAAGCTGCACAGAACACTTTACACTGTCTACACGGTAGACACTGGACGACGTCAGATTGATGGCGGTGTTAAATCAGTCGCAGGTCTTTGCTGAAAACCATTGAACATGACGGGATCATTCATGTTTAGATTACTACCGTTCAGTAAGTTACGCGAAAAGCTGGCCAAACTGTCCAACAGTGTGTCAGAAAATCGCAACCACATCCGTTTGTTTGCCGAGTCCATAGCTTATTGTGTGGTAACCGGCAGTCTGGGATGGCTGGCGTACGAGTTTCACGAGACCGTTTTGACCATTGAACGTTGTGTGCAAAAAGATCCAATGCTGTTGAACTACAAAGCACCAGAATATATATTTGTCGACCAAGCCACATTCACAGGTAAACTTTGTGTTCTAAATATCATTTATGTTGTATAGCTGTGGACTATAGTAGATGCCATTTTTCATCAGATTGTCTTTGTGTGTAAATGATATTTCACTTCTATTTTTATGATTTCACTTAAGAATCGGACATAGGTAAAACCTGAATTATGTACTTCTGGAGAACGTTTAAGCAATATTGTAAAATTACCGTCAGTTCAAAACACTCTTGTATTATGTTGTATACTATAAGCACCATACATTATAAGTTGTTTGTGCCATTAATAGACAAAAATCAAAGTAAGGTATACGTTGTAGTATAACTTCTGCTTTTTATGACTACAACAGTGCCTAAAATATTAATTAACTATGTTTTTAGCATTTCCTTTGTAAATATAAATTTATTTTTCTATCGGTGGCACAAACTCAATCTAAATACTTAGTTATCTTTAGTTACCTATCCCACAAATATGCAGGCAATAAGAAAACTACACAATGTATTAGTGATGCCTTTAAATCATCAAAGTATAATTTTTATAATTTATTTGTGATGGCCAATATGTATTAACCTCTCAATTAATTTGGCAATTGGAATATGTACAATTCAATATTAGTTACCTTTTTTATTTGTTTGATATTGTTGTCATTTGATGATTTTAATTATTTCTCATATATTTTAATGTTATAAATAATTCTCAATTAGTATTTAAACAATTTAATCCAATTCAATATCAGATTTTACAATAGATAAAACTAAAAACTAGTTTTAATATTGAACATTTAAGTATATAAAGACTATTCTGTGTAAAATATATATTTTATGTGTTTTTGAATATTTAGTTTAATTTTCAAATGTAATTTTAGATTGTTATTAATCTTATATATATCTAATTATTTGTATAGAACTTGATGAGTATCAAATTATTGATAGTAACAGTATAATACAGCCAACAAATCCGCCGGTATTTTTTCTACAAAAATGGAATGATTTCAAACATAAAAAGGCTTGGAAACTTTTGGAAATAACCAACAAGTACAAAAATTCTAAATTATCCTGGGTAGCCACTTCACAATTGACCACAATGACTGATCATCTAAAAGGTAAGTATAAATTATAAATATAAATTCGTAAAATAAATGTTTATCTTGCATTTTTATCTTTACCTAATATGTTTTTATTTTAGATTCAGATTTCCAACATTTAGCGCAAATGAGTGAAGCACATACTTTGGTCGGTTTGGCTCGATCAACTAATGCTAATCCTAAATTCTTCTTACCACCTAGAAATTTAAGCTGGACAAAAGATGTATAAATAATATTAATAGTAGATATTGTTTTATTTTTCTTGAATAATAATTAATTAATTTTGATTTAGGAAATATTATACAAAATCCGTGATTTATTAATTAAATTAAATGAATCAAATGAACACAAATGTTTATCTTACTTTATAGCATATGCATTTAAAGTAAGCAAAACCATGTATTTGACATTTAATATTTTTATTTTTATTTATTTTTAGTTATATTTTGTTACTTAATACTTATTAATTTTTATTAGGGCAAACAGCATGACTATTATCACTTGGAAGATGTACCTCCAGATTTTGGAAGTATGCAAATAGACAATGATAATATATTACAGTTAAGCATAAATGCTTTACGTCACCATTGTAACAATGATACAAATGTTACTGGTAAATATTTTAAATCAAACCTATTTATTGTAATAATATCAAAAATTAAAATTGATAAAATTATGTTATAAGCAGCTATGGTAAAATTGGGAGGTCTTCAAATTTTGATGGCAATATATCAGTATCTAAAACACGATGAACAAGTAGCAGAAGAAATCGGAAAATTGTTGTCTGTTGCTTCTTTAAACAGAGATCTTATCCAAGACATTTTCTTAACCGGTATAGTCTAACGAATATTGTATCAATAGATATTTATTATAAATGCACGAAGTAAATATCATATTTTATCATCACCTCAGTAAAAAAATTAGAAAAACTATTCAATATTTATTGTTTGGTTTTTTTGTTTATTATTTATTCTATTAACGGTTTATATTGTTATACATGATTTTAACTTATTTATAAATGATTAAGGATGGATCAGTATTTTGTTTGAATGGAAGAATCACAAAAATTTTAGAATTCAGTCATGGGCCAACCGCACATTATTAAATATGGATGACGAAGATCCAATCAACGGAAATTATATGTTTGGAAAGCAAACAGTATTATTATATCCAAAAAATAGATACAATAAAGATGCTAAAATCGATGTTGTTCTTGTACATGGCCTATTAGGTGGTGTTAGCTTTTCATGGCGTGAAAAAGATCTACATATTAATGAACCTCTTGGCCTTTTTGGTAAATATAATATAATATATGATCACAAATATTGATTTATTTATGTTACTTATCTGTAGAGGTCGGATTTATACTCTCTTAAAAACCTTAAAATATGATGTTTTATGTCGTTTAAATAGGCAATATATTCTCTTCATATTCTTTTAAAGTACCAGTTATGTCCTTAAAATTGCTAAATATTCTTTCCATACGTAAAAAAATAGTTATTAAAATAATTCAGTTTAAATTTATTATTTATTAAATTTTACTATTAATTTGGTTTACAATAATAATGAGTAACCACCTATATATTGTTCTATATGTTCCGGAGTCATTTTAGTACACCGATTTGTGAGAATGTTTTTATTTATGCTAAAGGACAACTCGACATAAACCAATATCACGGGAGAATATTGCAAGTCGGCTACCATAGTCAGTGAATAGTTTTCTGGAAGTTGTAATGTGTTCTTTCCACTAAGAACTTGTCCAATATTTTTCAAAAATTTGTATCCTTGGTTTTTTTGTTTTTCTTTTTTCCTGGTATCTAATCAAATATTGTGTAAAATTATTTTTGATAATATTCATCATGTCCACTAAGGGCGTATTTGATTTTTCCAAAATATTGAAAGTTATAACAATTTGATGAAAGTTAGTTTCAATAAACATTAAATCCTTTTTTACAGGGTGTATCTAGGTGTAACATGTTTTTCAAAATATTTACAAAAATAAAATCATCAAAATTTAAAGTATTTATAAAATATTCTGTAAAGTATTGAATATTTTCTAACCCCAAAAATATGCTTTTTTATGCAAAATATATTTTTTTCTATGAATTCTGTGTTTCATGAATAATTATGATGTCTTACTCCCATTTAACTGCATACACTAGAAACAAATATGTAAAATCGTAAAAATCCGACCTCTACAGTTATTTGGTTGTAGGTCCTTTACATATTTGTTTATACATACTTATTAATGGTTTACCTCATTATTCTTGATAATTATTTTAGGCTCAAGCCTGTTTTATATATATAAAAAAAAAAAATAGTAACAATCACCAACATAGCAATTTACGTTTGAAGTTCATATTATATATTTTTAATTCAGTTTTTTTTTTTTTACCATCTTACTTGCTGATTATGTTATATTATCGTATATTTTTTTGTTCAAAGTAATAATCTTAATTTTTACCTGAAGTTAAAGTTATACTATAGCAGTGGCGCACAATCAAAAATAAATAGGGGTAGCAAATTTATTCGGTCACCTCTATATTGGCTAATAGACTAATGGTTATAGCCTATAATTATTCAATAGTTTATTTTCAATATTTTCATATGTAATAGAATTTTCATGATGTAAATATTTTGGGGCCAGGGGGTCCATCCACCCACCTACCAAAAAAATCAGGGGTAGCAACTGCTACCCTTGAACCCTCCAGTGTGCGCCACTGTACTATAGTATTACTATTTTAATAATAGATATGAATAATAAGAATGAATCTCATAACTCTTCAAATACTACTACATTAAAAGGACCAGTTGGTGAAGATATGCAAAACTATTTGGATAGTTACAAAGAAGTCAAAGCTAGAGAATGGGACTTGATTGGAAGTGATTTTGAGTTTGTTTTGAACGACATACCACATAAAGAAAATGTTAAAGGAAATGGGCCTTATTCATTACAAGGGTAATATTTTATTTTTACAATGATATTAAATTGTATTACATATAACTGTTTCTCAAAAGGAATAATTCCACTGTACGACAAACTGCTCTGAATGAAGGTTATAGTCAATGTTGGCCGTCTGATTGGTTACCCACTGATGAAGAAGGTCTTCGGGTGATTGGTGTTGATTATAGTACAACATTATCTGAGTGGTTGCCATCTTGTCCTTTAAAACAGAAAAAGTATGATTCTCAAACTTGTTTCTTGATGACTATTTAAAAATTGTGTGTTCTTAGTCATCGTACACTCGAAGGGCGCACAGAAAAATTGATGCATCAGTTACTAGCTATTGGTATTGGAGACCGACCAATAATTTTTTTGGCTCATTCTATGGGTGGTCTATTAGTAAAAAATATGTTGGTTACAGGTAAAATGTCTACTTGTAAAAAAATATAAATGCAAATTAAATGCTTTAAAAAAATTATTTCAGCAAGTAACAGTAATGATCCAAATGTGAGAAAACTTTTTGAGAAGACAAGATCTGTATTCTTTTTTAGTACACCACATCATGGGTCACCATTAGCTACATTAAACAGCGCATATCGATTCTTTTTATGGCCATCAGTAGAAGTGGATGAACTAAGAACTGGTATTTTAACTTTTATTAGTCAATTTTAATATAATTTGTTAATTGTTTTTTTTTTTATAGATTCGCCTAAGTTAGTATCCCTCCATAACGATTTTCTAGAATGTTTGAAAGATAATCCAATGAAGATTGTTACTTTTGCTGAAAGCCTTCCAACAGAATTTACTGCTTTAAAAGTACCTATACTATGCGTACCTAAAGATGCAGCTGGTAATCTTTAATTTTTTTATAAATATAATATAACGTAACAACTAAACAATTATTGTCCTATAGAAATAAATAAATCATGGAAAATATTTAGATAGTTTAAAAACGAGTTAGTTTAATTTAATTGAAAGCAAATATGCTTCAACTTCTAAGATTAAGACAAATTAATAAAAGTCACAAATAATGTATGACAACAAAGACACAGATAGGATACCTATCGAAAACTGTTGTTAAAAACTCGCCTCACTTCAGTAGCTCGTATCACGCTTGTGGAGGGAGGTAGGATATGAAGATTTTAATATACACTATGTGTAACAAAAAATATTCATATTATTATATTATATATGTTGTATTGTGTACAAAATTTGGTCCCATTAGTGGGGGGGGGGGCATATGACCACCATATCACCCGAAGATAAGCCACTGCCTAATCGGTCAAATCTTTATATTATAATCCTTGCAGCCATCCCATTCAGAGTTCCTTCTCATTCTTCCAGAAACCAATGACAATTTTATGTCCCAACCCACAAGATCTCTTATAGGCACAACCCCACTCTACATCGCATGCTCAGAGCTGCAAACAACTCCATAGGCCCCTAATTATACTATTTATCTATATTATAACATGTATACTCTGAATTATTTATACTTTTATCTAAATTATTTATGTATTCTACCTTGCTGTACTTATGCCATATTTATTATACTATGTAAAATTGCCGTTTTGGCGTTTAATAAACAATAATAATAATAATAATAATAATAAGTATAGACATTTTATATATTTTCTAAACTTTTCGATCGCCCCCCTCCCCCGCCATATATTTTACTAAATAATACATATTTTACATCTTAGTAATTTATAAATTAAAAAATTTTTAGTCTTATTTTATATAAATTTAAAACATTTTTTTATTTAGATCCATCGGTGGGTGAGCTTTACGAGTTGCCATTAAACCATATGTCCATCTGCAAAGCCGACTCTAAGTAAGTATAAAATATTGTTTGTAATTATAATTCATTTGTACTTAAGTTAAAAGTCTTAAGTCATTCATGTATAAATGTATAACTCAAAATTAAATATTTTTTGTTTAATTGTTTTATATAAAGTGGTTTAAATGGTGCCTTAAAACATAAGCGCAACTGCCAACTAGGGATTTTTTGGCCTGGGGGTGAGGTTAGGTTAAGTTATTATCACACATTCTGATATATGATATTTTAAACTAAAATATGATTAAAAAACTGTGGCTTACGGATTAAACTTGGGAGGGGGCTATGCCCCCCAATCACCCTTAATGGCACCCATGGCTCAGAACAGAAATTAGTGGTTAGTGGCAGACTTTAAAGTAAAAAATATATTTATTTTTTTTTCTATAATGCACTCATAGATTGTGTTGACATAAAAAATAATCAAATACAATTTGTTTTTAACTAATATGACAATTAGTTATCATTGTTTTTACAGATTGTCATTTGTTTATCAAAAAACATTAGCTGTGATAAAAACAGTTGCTGCATACAGTAGTTAATTGGAATAGAGATTAGCAAAAATTCCAATTAATATAAATAATTTGTAATTATATTGTATTGTTTATAACTGACCAAAAAATATTAATGTATTATTTTGAACTAATGGTTTTGTTTTATATAAAAAATATTGTTGAATAATTATAGTTTAAAATTGATTGTGTCTGACGTATTGGTATTTATGACATATTATAATGATCTCTTGTTTACTTTTTGTATGTTAAATATATTTTTTTTATCTTTACACCGTTTCTTCGACTGTTGATTGCTTCAATGATTGTATCATATTAACCAGCTCTTGATATAAAAAACAATTCCTGTAATATGTATTACTATATTAGTATTTTATAAGTGCTTAGTGTTTACCAAAATGGTAGATGATTAAAATAATCTTAAATTACTTATATGTTTTTATACTTTATATTATATATTTTAAAATCTAACTTTGTGTAGTTCTTACCGATTTTTTGGTTTGCAAATATTTCGATGATCCAACGGAACACCATATAAATCTCCAAATCCTGGATCTTAATAATATATATATGAAAAAAAAGTTAGTTTTTGATTAAATAATATATACTATAATCATTGGGGGGTTTACCAGGAGGGGTTTTATCCCACACACATTGTCCCTGAAATCCCCTTATTTGTGTCTTTGGTACTACCACCTTTATTTTATAATAAATAATTACTTTTACAGCTACATATATTAGGTATTTAATTCTAGCTGAATATATAAATGATAATTCAAAACATTCAAATATGTAAATGTACCTGCAGACTGTATAGAAACAATCCTTAAATAAATTAGTTTCATAAGTGTCAATTTGGTTTCAATAAAACTCTTCACTTGAATTTGTCTATTAACGTTCATCATTTCATGAAATGTTTTCTGAAGTTTTTGTATATCTTGTGTATCTGTAACATAAATAAAAAACCATTATTAATCATTCCAAAGTGTATTATGTCATGTACCTACTGTACCATTTACTAACTCCTGTAATTCAATTGATCGTTGAAACAATGGTAGTTTTATATTGGCTAAAGGAGATCCGTTATGGGGAACACTATAAAATAATATTCCCCTGGTATTTGTTATGATTTTGTGAGTTTGCTGGTTTTCATTAGCTGTAAAAATAACATTTATATACCTTTAAAAAAAACATTAATCATAGGTTTACCCATCTTATGATGAATCAATAAAATGAATACCATGAACTAATATTTGTTTTATGAACAATCCCCCTTTAGAATGACCAACCCACGTAATGGGATGCTGTCCGACATGCACATTTCTTAGAAGTGATATCATCTCCAATCCTCTATCTTTCATGGTTGTTCTGTAAAATAATACAACTATTTGAATAACTATAATAATATAGCCAACAATGAATTAAAAATAATATACAACTAGTCATTTTAGTCTATCAATTGTGGGTGTAATTACCAGTCCACAATATAGGTACTCAATATACAATATACCTAGGTACTCGATATTATAGGGGTGAGGTCTCTGTGGATGTAAAAGAAGACAACTCTTAAAAATATTGTGATTGTTCAACTCCTTTTGGATGTAACTCGCTGCAATTTGTGCAACTCAGCCACCCTGTTGGGCAATCCACCTGCGCAACTCACTACTCAGTCACTTTGATAGGCAATGTGCAAAAATTCGATTTGATGCATGCTTGTACCGGATCTGCCCGAATAACCAATGGCAACCAACGATAAATAATTACTAATTTCTACTAATTATTATTTCTCCTATAGTCAATAATGACGATTTACAAACAAAAATGTCCATGGTAAATATCAAAATCCCTGTTAGAGCACCTCCCCGGGTTGGGCCTGCCCGGTCCAATTGTGAATCCAAACCATTCAAGGATCCACTCAAGCACACACAAATTTTTTTATCAAAATCGGTGCAGCCTCTTAGGAGGATTTTGAATACATACACGCGGAAATAAATATATATATTAAGTTACGTTGATCGAAATTTTAGGTAAGTTAACTTGTAATTTATCATTATCACAGTTAAACGATTAGTTGAACCAAACTTGCCCCGTTGACCGTGGTTGTAGGTTATTGGTACAAACGACAACATTTTGCCATGTACCAATTATTAGGTATATTATTATTTTTATAAGTTCCTTGTTCAATAATAAATGTATTGCTGTCATACATTTTCACGTGGTGTAAAATTTCAGGTCAAATAAGTCATGTCACATTACTAATGGGTAGTGATGTGAGTCTCGTAAATTTACCATGTAAGATTTTATCGGTAAAGTAAATTTACAAAAAAAAATTTACAATTTACATTTTTTTTACCGCTCAAATAGTTAATTGACCACTTTATTTGTATGTTTTTGTAGTTTTTATTAAGATATTAGGATTATAATACAAATCAGGATTTTTATAAAATGATAATGACAGTTACGTGGTACGAATTATTGTGATATGGTGTATGTGGTTACCACGATTTAAGGTATATCTTAAATCGTGGTGGTTACTGGTACTTCATTAAGAGTAAAATATTAATTTAACAAAATCTGCTGTTTTCTTTATACTTACTATAAGATGTTTTAAATTTTTTTTATATATATTTTTTTTTCAAGCAGATCAAAATTGTTTTTATTTTATATTTTATTATAATTAATAATTATGAGTTGTTATTTTTAATAAAGGGATTAAATACTAATACTTTATTTTATATTTATCTTGCCTTCTTCACATAATATTGTGAAAAAATTCAACAGATACACTATAAATTGAATTTTAATAATAATTTACCAATTTTACCAGAAAAATTGTTTACGTAAAATCCACATCTCTACTAATGGGTTATACAATAAATGGGTGTGGATGCACATTTTAATTTTAATTTTAATAACCTACCAGTTCAAAATAGCAGGAAATTAGACGGACGAAATAGTTGTGCACCTGAATAGCCTATACACAACGCCGTGTTAAAATATTATTATATTAAATCTTATAACAATATTTGCAGTGGGTCTAGTACTCTAGTGGGATATAATAATATATAATTGCTATATATGACGTGTTAGGAGTGGAGAGAACTGCCCCCCCCCAGCAGACTGTGCCACCAACAATATCATGGCTGGATAAAAAAGTCGTGTGGCTGTGCTCAGTATCTACCTATAGATTTTGATTATTTGTTTTATATTTTGTAATCTTGTAATCTTGTTTTATTGCCGCACATAAATAATAGAAAATTGTATTGTTGTTTGAGCTAAATATTTATTAATTAGTGATTATACTATTATCAATTACCATTTATCATATATGCTCATAAATTATTTATAACTACCTACTAAACTAGGTACGTAACATACCACAGGTTAGATGGTACTGTTGTGACAATCTAAGACACGCTTAAATAGTTCTAACTCATTAACATATTTTTTGCAAACTAAGCTGACTGACATAATTTTAGATGAAAATAAAGAACAAACTCGACCACAAAAAATTACAAAGGTTGAAAAATAGACAAATAATGAATAGTCTCTAAATACTCTAATAGACACATAACTCTTTGCTTAGATATTGCCATTGGATGACGTCCATTTGGTGGAAAAAATGAAAAGGATAGTAGTTTTAACTTTTACTACGGGATACTATCATTGAGTATGATATAAAACGGGAATCAGTTGTTTTTGTGCTCATTGATGAAGCATCAAAAATGTCTGGAAGTTTATCAGGAGTTCAAGGAAGATTTAAAAAGAAAAATGAAAAATCGTTATTTGCTCATTGCTATATGGACGTAGTAATTTAATATTAGTAGATTCAGTTGGAAGATAAAATAAGGTATTATTGAGTCTTTGAAAGTATTTAAACCATATTATGATAGAAGAATGGATTTATAAATACTTTATTTTTTAAACAATTATATTATTATATTTTTATAACAATTTAATATATTAAGTTATTATGGGTTTTTATTTTAGTTTTAAATGTATTTTTACTGTTTTAACTCGCCAATGGTTATATTTTTTGGTCTTCATTATATTTCTTAATATTTTGAAAAATACTGCGAATTTCTTTTTTCTTTTAACCCACCAAAATACTAACTCATTTTCTCATTTTCTACGAGAAACCACTCTCAAAGTTTAAAGAGGAGTATTTTTTTTTATAGATTATTGTATTAAATATGTCTTACCTAACTGGTTTGCTTAACCATATAGGTCGCCACAAATAAGGGTCGGTACTGTAGCTGATGGTTATAACTCGGACATATGGACAATCCAATGGCAACCAATCTCTGGGCCAACAATTAGTAAACTCTTTGATCTCATTGCCGATAGACAATCTTTCAAATTGATTCATCGTGGATAATCCGGAATTCCTGACAACCACTGGCTCAGGTTTCTGATCCACTTGTTTCCACACACCTTGTTTCCATGTCTTAAGTTTGTCACCCCTAAGTCCGTGAATAAAAACCACGTCCATGAAAGTTGCCTCAAGTCCCGGGTCGTATAGTACTTCACATTTAACCTCACATCTTTTGGGACCATCGACTTCTGATTCAATATAATTAGGTTTTTGATCGATCGTATTTAATGCAATATTACATTTTTCTATTGCAAATCTCGCCAACCACCAACTGTATTTTAACAGCCATAATACAAATGAAATCATCGATGCAGTTTCATAGAAAAACATATTCTTGGTCTTCACCCAACATAGTACAAGCATTTGCTGGTATGATGTGATGTCAGGTTTAAAGTAACAGATGACGTATGCAATATCTTGAGCTGTCTTCATAATATTCCTATTATGAATCAAACAATGTTTATATTAGTACTGTTTAAAGAATAAATCATTTTTAGATTCAAAGTTATCTATGGATAGTGATATTTTCACAGCTAGTTAGACCAGCACCCCGAAACAAAAACCCAAGTCCAATTTGTAACGTAAATTCAGAATTTATAATTCAAAATGTCACTATTGTATTAATGATTGCCTGGCTTACGTCATAGAATAGAAGTTCAGTAAGCATAAAATAAAAGATCTACTTTTAATATACCTAGTTAAATTAATGGTAATCCGACCGAATATAAGAAATAACAATACGTAGGTGGTAGGTACATAATAATATTTAGGTACACACAAAAAAATAATTTTACTATCGTAATTCGTAAATGGTAGAAAATATTATAGTCGATATTATTGATATTACTATAATATATTAGTTATAACTATGCCTATTTTGTGAAAAATACAATGTAGTTTTAGTTACTAACTTATAGTTAAATTGACTAAATAAATAGGTACACTAAATATTTCCGATAATTAGATCAACCATATTATATCTAAGGTAACACATTACATAGTTATAATAACCATAATGCAACAACCGAATTCATATGGTAATTTTACCTATGATTTGTGGCTGTCACTATACCACACCAATATTTTGGTTTTGAATAACCATTTAAATATTGTTTTTAACCACATTTTTTTTCCGTGTACCCATATATTATAGTATTATGGTATGTTGAACTAAGAATTTCCGAAAGCACCACGTTGGTACCTAGGTATACTATAAAATATAGTACATATATATATATATATAATGCTATTTAGTATACAATACAAAATATACCCTTAATTCGTTAACTTCGATTAAAAAATATTGAAAATACACATTTTTTTTTTAGGGTTGATGCTCCGACCACTGAGCTTACTGAGGATAACTGAGCCTGTGGAACTGTGGGGGAGGGTACTGTAGGTTTTTGTTTTGGCAGAATTTTTAAGTTGGCACCTGTAGGTATCTGATCACCGGACATTTTTATAAGTATTTGAATTTAAATTTTTACAAAATTAGTCAAAATGACAAAAGTTTGAAAAAAAATTGTTTATAAGAAATAAAAATATTTTATTTGATCATAATCAAATTATCAAACATAATATATGATAATTATAATTTAATCTAAAACTATTTGAGTTATTTTGTTGAATTAAAAAATATTAATCGTATAAACTTGTAACAATGACAATTTCTCAATTTCAAAATATTTGTGCCGGATTACATGAAAAATTGATTGATTTAAATGCTCAATGAAATGTAATGGACCAATCGATAATCATGGACCACTAAATCATATTTAAGGGACCATTAAGTGGAAAAATTTGTACAGTTGGCTCAAAATCTTATAATAATAACATAATATGATACTAATATAATAAACTAAGTAGTAAGTATTTAATTAATAATCATAAAATAAAATGCGAAGTTTTTGGCAAAAATTAATTCAACCCAGGTACCTACTATATAATATGTCCATATTACTGATAATAAAATAAATTAATAATAGCAATATAAATATAAATTAAAATATTTTCAGTAATATAATATATTATGCTGACACACCGACAAAGCCAGAATTGTTTTTCATATAAAATGACAAGGTAAAATCGACACCTGCCATACAGCAGGGCGAGTTCCCCGGTTTTTACTGTTATGACTATTGAAAGAACCACTCAATCTAATATACTGCGGCATGTATAATATGTATAGACAGTGGCGTAGCGTTTTGGGTGTTTAAACACCCTCCATTGACATTTCCCCTCTAATAAATATATTGTTTATAGGGTTCAGGACTGCTTGCATGTTTTATTGTAGTGGTAGTAGATTATTTTAGATAAGTTATGAATTTGTCTTATATGACATTTTTTTGTCTTTTCAAACAAAGTTTGAATTTGCATATTTTTTCATATTGTAGGAAAAATGTACATTTGAGCGATTTTTCGAATATTTGTGTATATTTTGAATTTTTTTAACTTAAATGTAGGTACATACAACTGTCGGGAAAAATCATATTTGGATAACATTGAAAAATATTAAGTTTGGTTAGGTACAATAGGAGCTAATTTTGAGATTTGGGGAAACCGAAGCCTAAAATCATACCATTATAAAATTGAATAAGCTTAAAAAATTTTAATAAATGTTTGGGAGGGCTGTTAGTTGTTGGAGGAGCTTGGCTACGGTTGGCCCTATTTTCGCATATGGTACGTAAGATTTTATAAGTCTCTATTTGTGACAAGACTGTGTTAAAACTATAATTGACATATAGATTCTAGATTGTACGAAGAAATGAAAATCAGTAGATATGTGTTCGTTTATCACGGTGTTCGCATATCACGTTATTTTTTATTACTTATTTATTAACCTAGTATTTTATGACAGTATTTTTAAAAATCAAGTTGTTTTATTTCACAACAATTTCAAAATGTCCAAAACATGCAATAGTGTCCTCCGCCCATCATATTAATCAATATAGGTACCTACCTATATTCAAATTAGAAAGCCCGTGTATAAATTATTTTTATCATGTTTATATACCTACTTATTTCTTAGGTTTTTATTAACAAAATTGTAATATGTGATATGAATTTTTCAAAAATAATATAAAAAATGTAGCTGCCTATATTTAAGCATATTTTGACAATTTGGACTGCATATTTCGATAATTTTTAGTGCATCAAGTCAAGTCCCGAACCCTAAATTTATTTATATACGAAAACTGTAATAACTCGGTTTTAACCTATACTTAAACACCCCCCATTTCATAATTCTGGCTACGCCACTGTGACTGTATATAGGTATTCGTTTAATCCTCATAAAAAAACAACTTAAAATGGTAGATAACTTACTGACTCTGACAGGTCAACACAGCTTTTATTGCATTTGGAAAATATTTGAACCACCTATGGTCGGTGCCGGAAAGTCGGTCGTCCATTCTGAAATCACATATTTAGTTTTGCTTACATTTACTTACTTTATTACGTACCTCAAAAAACATTCTTCAATAGTTTTTTTATTATGAGTTATATTTTATGATAAGAAAATATTGTACCGACGACATTTTAAAACTGTTATTATTATAGTATTTATATATAATTATTAAATATTATTAACATATTATTTATGAAAATCGTAAAATTCTCGGTTAATTACAGTGCTCAATATAAAATATGGTACCATGTCAGGTCTTTTACGATTGTTGTATTTAATAAATTGGCTTTAAATAAGACCAATTTATAATACTGTACTTGACTGCAACTCGCGGTTTTATTAATTTGACATTGAACTCAAAATGTATGGTTTCTTGCTTGGCTCGATATTATTGACAGTAGAAAAAAAAATTGCGTAGGTAGGTATTCTCATGTAAAATATTTTTGAAATTTGTTAAATGCAGGCTTACAAAAAGTTAATGAAAATTTCAAAACATATATAGCTTATTTTAATTTAATTTTATATAATATATTTTGTTATTTAAGTAAAATACATTTTCATTAAAAATAATGTTGATATATTAACCAGCTATAGGTTTTTTTTCAAACACATTTTTTCCACGTGTAACAAATAAATATGTTTACATGTAGACAAATATGTAAATATGTTGACATTAATTTAACACTTTATGCGTAAAAAACGTAAAGACCGCGTACAATTTATCAAATTCATGGAATTATAGATAGAAAAAATAAATTTACTTACACGTCATTTGCAAACAGTCACATGCGTACGAACGTTTAACAATAACTAACCGAGTAGCGAACCAATAGTTAGTCTGACCTTCTTAACAGCTGTACATCACTGCAATATGATGTTTTAACAACCGCGTTAGTGCGTGACACATTGAAATTAATTGACAAATTGAACAAGTGACAATGGTATTATTGTATAGATCACTACACGTGCAGCTGGAATATTATACATGTGCAGTACGATTTCTTCAGCAACAATTGATTATATTATGTAAATCATAGCTAAGTATCTATGTTTTTATAAACTTTAAATTGGTAGGTGGTCAAACATTTTATGTATAAAAAAAAAAAGAAAAGATTTTTGAATTTCTCACCAGTGTTGAGACTTTTCTAGATCAATACTACTCATCTGCAATATGCCAATGTACATACCTAGCTAATATGTTTCAACTTATCTAAATACATTTAAACCAAACTATTTTATTAATCTTGATCTAAATAAAAATATATTATCTTTACATACATAACAACTTATCTAGGTATATTGTTATTATTTATTCACACATAATTGATTTTACCTACCTACATTAAACATGCAAATCTTCATCAAAACTACACACTACGCTCACGAATAACTCCTTATAATGCCGGTAATACCATTGATTATACAACACCAATGGTAATACAAATCCCTATACTTATATTATTCATGTCATAATTTTATTATATTACCTTTTTCCTATCTATAAACTATTAATATGTGGTTCTGTGTGGTGCGGTGGTCGCATCTTGTCACGAAAATGTTCTGAGTGCAAGCACTAGTTCCCGGATGGATGACCACTGAGGTTTTTAGTGACACATCCTTGCCACACAAACGCACGTGTTCGATTACAACCGTTACCCTCTCTACAATCAGATAATGGCCATAGATGCCGCGGGATCATGTTTAATAAAAAAAAAAAAAAACTATTAATATTATTTAAAAATAATCTGAAAACGTTTTTTTGTTTATGCAATTAATTATTTATAACTTTTTAAACACCTTTATATTCTCAATTATTACATTTGCATGCAAATGCAAAATGCGCGTTATATTAAGTTAGATACATAGGCTTAAACGCATTTTTAAATGTTAATTCTTTATACTATAATATATCTTATATAATAAGATTGATGACATCGATTTAACTCTAATTAAAATATAAAATAAGATAAATAATTCTAGCTTCAAGTTTTGAAAAATCAGTAACTGTAATTGTGAAATGTATTCCAAGCCGCTGTATACTATAATTGAGTCCCAATACCCGAACAGGAAAAAAATTATATTCTAATTGAGTTTCGGATAACAACGAAAAATATACTAAATGAGTCACGGGGTTGGGAATCCAAAACTATAGGTACTAATAATTGAGTCCAAGGATTGTCTTGAGTAAAATATAAAATCAGCAATAATCTTCTTAATCTTAATAATAACCACGAACTAAGATACTATCTTAGTTCGTGATAATAACATAGTATAAAACAAAGTCCATTTTTCTGTCTGTATGATTAGATCTTTAGAACTACGCAACGGATTTTGATGCGGTTTTTTTTAATTAATAGAGTGATTCAAGGGGAAGGTTTATATGTATACAACATGCATAATATAGTAGAGAAACACTGCCCCTTTTTTGTATGTACGAGCATATCTCGAAAATAACTCAACTTATTTTAATACGGTTTTCACTAATAAATCGGTCGAGTCACGTGGAAGGTTTTAATGTATAATAATGTTCCTTGGTGAAATAAATTGTTTGGCCGAAAATAATAACAATCTATATCTATATACATACAAATAAATGTTTGTCTGTATGTCATTCAACCACCCTCCTAAAGCATTGGACATTTTTTGTGTGTTTTTGAGTGAGTCCTTGAATGGTTTAGATTCACAATTAGTGAAAAAACCTAACCTAACCCAGTTGGTTTAACCTTGATAGGTGCTCAAACAGGTATTTTGAGATTTATGATAGAAATGTTTGTTTATAAATGGTTGGTATTGATTATAGGAGAAGTAATCAGTAAAAATTTGTATTTTTTTTTTGCCATTAGTTACTCTGGCAGATGAGGTAAAAGCATCCAACAATGCTTATGGTTTCGAATAACGAAATTATATCTTAAAACAAATATGAGAGTTGAATGTATATTTGTAGCTACTATATTATAGATCCTTAAAAACTACTTGACGGATTTTGTGAAAATTTTGAATTGTTCTTGGAGATATCAGGAATGTTTAAAGAGTAGTTTGAACCACGTTCAACTTATACCAATCCACCCAATTCACCATAAATGAACTGTTCACCTTGCAGGTCCATATTTAGTTCGCAAAGCTTAAAGCTACCCAAATTCATCTGTGAAATGAGGTATCTATGTAGGTACATCAAAACCAAGATACTCAGCAGGTTATGGCCCAGACACATTATCTGGATAAACTTGGACTTCAAAGGAACTACTCTTTATACAAGTAACTTCTGTTATTCTTCAAAGTTATACAAACAAGAAAGTCAGGGTGGACGAATCAGTAAAAATAACAAAATTATCAAATGTGGAAAAATTCCACTGTGGAAATTTTAAATGAATTTAATTCTCTACTCTTTTGAATTAACGCCAATAATTACGACAAAGTGGAAAATGCCTAGTTCTAGAATTATTACAAAGACAGAAAAGGAAACTGACGAGAAAGCTAGAGTTAGATGGCAAAGGTCAACCAATGACTAGAATAGAGTCGATGGTAAATTTCAAACATTAATATTTACTTCAGTGAACAATGGTCCATAACAAATTTTGATTAGCTGTGAGGGTTTGAGATGTGGGGAAAACTTCTCAGTATTTACGTTCAAAAGTCCAAAGCAAGTATACATTTGTTCCAACAGAAGTTTTCGACTTATTCAATGGATTCGACAGATGATATGGTGACTCATATTTCCAAAATAGAAAATTTGGAAATGAAACTGAAACTATCAAGGGAGCCAGTAATGGACAATATTGTTATGACGAAAATATTAATGACTTTACCTGATATGTATAATCATTTTTACAGTGCTTGGGATTCAAACCCTATCAGGTGATAAACCAATTTATAATTCAACTATAGTAGATTATTAATTGACGAATCAAGTGTACAATAAAGAAGTATGTCAGTGATGGAAAGTCAATAGGGGAATAAAAACCAGGTATAATTGTTATTTTTGCAATTTGGCATTGGAAAAGTCAATGCAGAAAATACTTGAAGAATCAAGAATTTTAGAAAACACACGGAGAAATAAGTAAAAATGATACATCAGAAGTTCAAGTCGGAAAAGAAAACGCAAATATCAGTAATATCACACACGGTAGTCAAGTAAATGATACTGCAACCCAAGGAGATGAGCAAAATATAAAAGAAAAACGTTCACAAGTCACCACCCATATGTATCTTAGGTTTATTGGATTTTCACAACATGCTTATTATTGAATTAATCGGTTCTGACAAATTCATCTTCAAATCGTCAACAAATTAATAAAAAATTCAAACAGATATTCCTGAATCATACCGTAAAACAATTTGTTATTTGAAAGTAAATGGGGCACAGTACTATATGATTACTTTGTCGACTGTCACAAAATAATAAACTATTATTGACCTAACAAAATAAATACCTAATAATTTCTCCTCAAATGTTTGTATTCATTAAATTTTTAATTATTTAAATAATAACTATTTTGGACTAATTGAATTTATAATTGCATCAAAATAACAAATAATTGTAAAAATCAAATATTTTGTTTTAATATTTAGTATGTAAAAAACGTTTTCTCAAAATGACTAATGTTTATAAAACAACTTTAAGGAATTTTTTATACTTGTGCAAATGTATTGGTATCATTAACATGTCTTACGTATTCGGTATTAGATTCGGATGGATTATTAATACAAAGTACAGACATGATATATAAATGTCTTGAATTCACACGAATGATTATATTAATAATATTCACGTTCTATATACACAGAGATAATTTTTTTATTCATAAAATATATTTATTCAAATTATGGTCTGTCATTATTGCATCAAGAATATCAGAAACACGGGTGATAGAGTAAGATAAATAATATAATTCTTACTAATAAATTAAGAAATTTAAAAATGATTTATATTAATAATTTTTTTATTAAACCATTGTCGCGTATCGGTTGAAATGTTATCGACTATCGAGTAATAATCGGAATGATAATATTGTTATCGGCTAGTGAGGCCGACGGGTTTGCCCTCGATCAATTTTGTATTGTTTATAATTTAGCAGTCGTCGAAAAAGAGCGAACGTGACATGTCGGCTCCGCATTATAGTGAAAATAAAATTATTTAATATTCTATTTGCTCAATTTCGTATAAATTATTAATTAAAATAATAGTCTAATCAACCTGAGTATCCGAAGTAACCAGCAACGGAAACTTACAGTCCACTCCGCAACAACCATGAACCAGCTCTGCTGTTTAACTTAACTGCAGTAGTAGAATAAAAATACAGCAAAGAATAGTTTTAGGGGGTACGGTTTATAAGAGATATGGGAGAGAAATAGGTACGTAAAACATAGTAGAACCTATATTGGAAGGTCGATGTGATCCATTCGAATGTGGTATTGTACTATTGTGGTCCTTCTATAAGGGAGATTCCCAGACGACCTATACTGGCTGTCACTAAATAGGTATATAGTACAATAAATGGCAAGCTTGTTAAACGGTATAATAAATTTATATTTTTATATTATGTAAAAAGTTTAATAATAGATAATAATATCAATATGTGCATGGCATCTTGGTGTCGTTTAAGATCGTTTGGGTGGTTTGTATTTTTTTAGTCAAAAAGTGTACCTACAGTAAGCCCAGAGTAACCTCAAGACACATCGCCCACGCCAGTAGGTACTCACTTCGGAAATATTTTTTTAATTCAAATGAACGCGTTCACATCTGTATGCATATTGAGTAATTTGAGCATCCTGTTTGGTCGCCCAATTAATTATCTTGCATTATTAACCAAATTAATTTGTTTATTATTCATCTCCGCAAAACCTAATATTATTAATATCTAACTCACTTCTTATTTACTTAACCAAGAAATATAAAGTTTATTGACTACCTATATTATTATTGAAAACCATTTACATTAAAGGGGCTCCAGTCGATCGTGTTTTAAGGAAATTAATATGGGCAATTTAACATGAATCGGACAACGTTAACTAACTTTAATTTTGTCAATACTTTACGTCTTTTCATATAAAACTGATGGCAGTAGCGAGTCTAAAACAATACTACAGTTGTAAAAAAATACAAATTAAGTCGATTTAGATACGAATCCCATTGAGCCTGAATCTTACATTTTAATAACAATATATGTATATATAGGTACCTAATAGGGCTTAACTATATTTTATAACATATCTCAATACAATACTATACTTTTAACAATCATTTTCAGCGATCTGAGAATCCACTCGCTATAGCTAAAGCGGTCGCGACCACTTCTCCTTAACCACAAAATCTATTTGTACCAAAAGTTCTTTCGACAGTTGTACGTCTTCATTTCTCGTCAATTTTAACGAACCACACTTTGACACTCCATCGTCTTTAAATAACTTAAAAACGAATAACAAATAATAATGAATTAATCATCGAGTAACATTAAATTATTAAAATTAACAGAATAGTCTATAGTTTTCTAAAACGATCATATATTCATATAATATAATACTCGCATACCTTTGCAGATAGATTATGAACTAGGTACATATTGATTACGATCGAATCCTGCAAAGAGTATTTTTTTATGACAGTCTCATTATCCCTAATACAATCATTTTCTTCGATGAGGTAATCTAGCAAGTCTGTACACAAACGCTTGTCGTCTTTTATGACGAATTTTTCTGAAATTACATTGTAGGTATACAATATTGGTATTGTCATATTTTGTCAATAAGCAATGTATAAACTATACTGTATTAAAGTGTCCCTGTCAATACATTTTTGTAAATACATTTTTAAATATACTTAATAACTAATAAGTAAATTTACAAATACTTAGATATTTAAATATAGGTATATGTTATATGTTAAGTATATTTTATATATATATACTATAATATTTAACTGTGTACTCTTGCTTGGGGATACAAGTTTATTTTTTCTAAAATAAAAACGTTAAGAATCATCCTATTTCAGTTACTGTATGATAAGCTGATGATATTTTCGAAAACAGATATTTTAAAACATGGTGGGACATCCACGGCTGCAGCATGTACTGTGCAATAGTGTGCATAATGTAGGTATTCATAATATAATTTTACTACACGACATATTATAAAGTATATAAATACATAATATTATTTAATATTGTAAAAATCGTATGTTCATAATTTGAACAGAATTCCCGCAACAAGTAGGTACCTAACATGACTAGAAAATCGGTAATACATTCTTACCGATTGGATGAGTGTTGACGACGAATGGTTTAATTATGTTCACTGCGTAACTGTGTTTGGCTTTGTACGCCGGAGTATCCGACCTGTTCAAGTCGTACATGACGGCCCCGCCGAGTAAAGGCCATGTCGGATAAGATTATTTTCAAACGGTCGCTAAAACGCTCGGCGATCTTTTCTTGGAGCCACGACGACTGAGAGTAACCTCCGACCAAAAACATGTGAGTGACGTTTTGATCTTCGTTCACTATGTTCACTATGTTCCTATTATAACAATAGGATATCAAGTTTGGAATAAAAAATGACTCTTGTGACTTGCGACTATACCGCAAATCTTGTACGCAACGAAAACAATAGATTGTCTACTTCCGAGATGCATGCATAGCTTGGCAGAAAAAGCGTCTCGAAGGCCAAATAGTGTAAAATGAAAACACCGTCCAATTCATTCCACACGATCGCATCGGATCTGTATTCTCTCACGGCGTCGGATACCTTTAAACATGCGCATTTGCATCATATAATATAAGCATCGTGGACATTTCCTTAAACTTTTATTATATATACGAACGTCTTTGTCTGAATACTTCAAGTAGTACCTATTCGATAAACGCGTACGGAGGCCTTATAACTATAGGCGCTCTCACTTTGCTGGGCACGGACATACGGAAACATCGTAATTTCTTAACAAAAATAGAAAAAAATATACTAAGTTGCAGTATAAAATCTTGGACATCATAGAATAATTTAGATAAAATCCTGATAAATGCTATAATTATCATAATTAAAACAGTTAAGATCATAATATGTATATATAACATATATATATATATATATATATATATATATATATATATATATATATACTTATATTATGTGAGAATAATACTCTCAATATTTACGTAATTGCGATACATATAATAATATTATATCAAAACACAGAGTACAAAAAAATTAAATGCATTGAACGAATACACTGAAGGTTAGGTAAAGGTTTTAGGTTTTAGTTGACACAGAGTACTACTTTCAAAAAGTATAAATCGAAATAATGAACACACTGATCATTGCTCACGTAAGGAGTCCAGATTGTCGATCGTTGAAATCGGTTTTAAACGTATGTAAGACTTTTAGAGGTTGTTACTCGGTGACTGGTGCTCATGCACTGGTTTAAGGGACGACGTGAAGATGCTGACCAGATAGTGGTAGGCGACTTTATCAAAAAGTTATCGTGAGCCTGGGAACTATAGATTATTCTTTGGCGGCAGAGATACCCTTTTTTTCCGTTCCTTTTCTCTGGCGACATCATAAAATAAAGTCACACACTTCCTACGTTATACTGTCATAACTGAGAGCCGATATCTTAATATTGTCGTTGATAATGGTTTTATTTGACGTGACCGATATCTACAAACGACAGTCTGACCGTTATTTATTGCTCTGTAAGATTTTAGTTTATTACAATAGTGTGTGAGCATTTCATTACTGCACTTTACAGTATATATATATGTAGGTATGTATGACGTTTGAATGTATGATAATATTATAGTCGATACAAATGTACATCAGTATATTATATATATTTTTTTAAGTGTAAAAAAAGGGAAGTTTATGTATTTGAAGGGGAAGGCATAAAATATATGTCGGTCACGCATCATATCGGTTGGCGGTTGTGATGTTTGACGAGTATATGTGTATTGCGGGTTGCCTATATTGAGTAATTAATACAAGTTTGAGCGGTGCATGTATGGCGTATTGCATATACAGCAGTGCCTGTACTATTACATGTAAAATTTAAGGGGGCGGCGCTCTAGAACCTACATATTTATACTATTAATATAATTATAAAAAAACTATGATTTGGAATCAAAAACTGGATAAATTATATCTTGGAAATATATAATATAGAAAGCAAACAGGTTAATATTTTATTTAGATTGCAAAGATTTTTTTTATAGAATTAAATAATTTTCCCAACTTTTTACAATCAATACATATAAATACATATAGAGATCTAAAATGTCAAATGATATGACTGAAATGAACATCAAGCAATCATTATTCTATTCTCCATGGTGGCGTAACCAGGATTTTGAAATGGAGGAAATTTAAATATAAATTAAAACAAGTATTCAGCATTTGAGTATATAAATAATACAATTATTAGGGCGACTAGTAAATGATAGTATCTATAACATTGGTGAGTGGTGACATAAAAAACATTCATCAATTATTTGTTATTATAAATTATAATTAGCAAAGTAAATATTATAACACAAAATATATCATACCTAAGATATTGACGATTTTGTCGACTAATTCAATAATAAATAATGATTTATAATGAAATGGTTATATTTTTATACTACCTATTCAATTATTTAAATTGTTTGCAATATTTTAATTTATAATTTGCATTATAATAACAAAAACTGTTCATAATAATGAAATATATCCTTTCAGAATTTAGTATTTAAAAAACGTTTTCTTAAGATGTTGTAAAAGTGATTTATGTTAAAGTGATTTCAACAAATTATTTGCCTCGGTAATAAGGTAATATTGTGGTAATATTTATTAACTAAAAGTTCATAATATTTTTTCCAGGGAGGGCAAGTGACCTGACTCCCCCCCCCCAAAATGGACACTCATGATATGGTCGATTTTGAACAAGGGCCCTTTGGCGCACTTACAGAAGTTTTCGATGGCGTTCAAATAAGGGGCTGCTTTTTTTCATTTTGGGCAATGTATATGGAGAAAAATACAGTGTATTCCTGAAGTACGAGAAAAATATATTTCAAACGCTGACTTTGCCTTAAATATAAAGCAGTTGATGGCATTAGCATTTATTCCAATACCTGAAGTCGAACAAAAATTTGGCGAGTTAATGTCACAACATTTTTTTGTAGAAAATGAAGAACTTTTTGCTTCCATTGACAGACTACTTTGAAGAAACTTGGATCAGTTGACCAAATAGACGTAGATCTCGACGCCCGCCTACATTTAGTTTAGCACAATGGAATCAATAAGACGCAATTCTCTCAGATCTGCCAAAAACAAACAACTCCGTTGAAGGTTGGCACAGAGCATTTTCTTCATTGTTAGGTGCATCTCATTCAACTATTTGGAGATTAATCAACATAATTAAAAAAAAACAAGGTTTAACGGAAATAAAAATTAACCAGTTAATAGCTGGTCAAGAACAGCCAGCTAAAAGGAAAACGTATATGAAAACAACTACACGCATCAAAAAAATTGTAAGTGCTCGTAATCTTGAAGAATATTTAATTGGAATTGCTCATAATTTACAAATGTAATGTATTTTTATAATGAAACATTTTTATATACATATTTTTTTATAATTATTATTATTAAACAACAATATGGAAACATTTTTATACTTGTGGAATTATAAAAAAATTTTAAAATTTTAATTTTCTTTTTGACAGGGAAATTTCATACTGGGAAAATAACTTGACGGGGAAATATATTACGGGGATGTGACCTGTAACCTATACATTATACAAATACCAATCCTAATATTGAATTCTGATGATTTTGCTTATTGTGACAGAATAATTATTATTGACCTAACCATAAATAAATAATATTTTCTTATGAAATGATTGTATATATTTCTCTTAAATTATTTCAATTGTTTTGAATATTAAATGTAAATAAATGTAAATGAATATTAAATTAAAATGTATAGGTAATGATAAATATTGGCTTTTGGGAATAAAATAGTTCACATTCATACTAAATGTATCGAAAAAACCTTTTCTTAAAATGTTGAATGTTTATAAAATATCTTTAAGAAATATTTTATACTTGTGCAAATTTATTGGTATCATAAACATGTCTTACACATTAGAATCAAATGGATTATTAATACAAAGTACATGTACCATTTATAAGTGTCTTGAATTTACACGAATGATTATGTTAATTTTATTCTCGCACGCTGTATGCAAAAATATTTTTTTTATTCACAAAATATATTTATTCAAATTATGGTCCGTCATTATTGCATCAAGAATATCAGAAACACAGTTGATACAGTAAGATAAATAACGTCAATCATACTATTGGCAATTACTAACAAATTAAAAAAAAAATTTATTTGTAAAATAAGTAATAACTTAAGGAGCCTTTAAAGATTAGGTCACATTCATACTCGTACATAATATATGTATAACTATATAAATTATAAATTCACTGAATATACACAAACTTCTATTTAATAAGATGATTTATTTTATACAATCTATATTTGACTGGGGCTAGATAAACAAACATTAATACATCATTGTGAGCGAAAAATGATTCAGATCAGAGACAATAATATGTCAGCTTATTTTTCAAACAATTTCAAAGGATTATATATTTGTATAACATATTCATAAAAAATTCTCGCTTTAAGTAATTATATTATAAGAAGTATGATAGATAGAAGTGTTAAATTTATTTTATGTGGCACGCGTTTAAAGTTTCTTTTACAGCAAAATAATTTAAATCATTTATATTACACCATTGTCTCGTTTGTATAAAAATTATAAAAGAGGGTAAGTGGATGTCGCTGAGGTGTAGGTTACAAGTACCTAGTCACTGTAATGGATCATATTAAATTTGACATCAACGATATGATATCATTGTATAAATACAAAATACGATTTTGGTTATTTAATATGTAATTTCGTCCAAATTTGTACTTAAAATGCTTATAAAAAAAAATCGCAAGTATGGATTTTTAATATTTTCCAACTGCTATTGTAATAATATATCAGGAGCCTTGTATTAAATTTCCACGCTTTTTGATAAATCGAATAAACTAAAATTGATATTTATAGAAAAAAATTGAAGAAAACTGAAAATGCCCGTAAACAGCTCAAACCAGTCTATTAACCAGGATATTCATATAATGGCGTATAGAAAATGCTAATATAAATATTCAGTGAAAGTTGCATGTATAAAGATTTTAGTTATAATTTTGTAATTTATAATATTAATTCAACTTACAAACTATAATAAAATCACAACAAAAAAACTTCGTAAACTAAGTTGAAAAAATTCGTAAGTAAAAAAAATATAAGATCTTTAAGAACTATAAAGATGTGAGATCATGAATAAATGCAAAGTGTATTGAATTTAAGTAAACTTATTTTGTTTCAATAATTTATTTACTTGGCGAGGAATTATTTCTTAAAAGAAACAAAGTATGATAAACAAAATAATTAAATAGAGAAGGACTATTAAAATATAACTTGTTATTATTTAAAAAATATTATTATTAATATTTATACTAACTATTTTTAAATAATTCCTCGCCAAGTACCTACCTAAATAAATTATTGAAACAAAATAAGTTTACTTAAATTTAATAAACTTAGCATTTATTCATGATACCACATCTTTATAGTGCTTAAAGATTTTATATTTTTTTTTACTTACCCATTTTTACGAGTAGCATACGAAGGGTTTTTGTTGTGATATCACTAATTTTTATTATAGTTATTAAATATTGAGTATTTACACAACAATCTATAAGAACGATAATATTGTTGGTAACAATGGCAACGCTGATACGACGACTTCTACCGTGATTCTGAATTTAATATAAATTTCCATTAAAAAGTTCGAACTTTTTCATATATAACTTAATTTCTAAACACACGATTTTGATGATTTTTACAAAAGCACGCTATACACAATATTTCTGATGTTTTGGAGTTTACAAGGAGTTATTTGATCCATTAGATAATTAGTTATGTCGTATAACAAATTTAAATGTATTTTACACAGTTTAAATAGGAAACTCCTGGTTCAATATACTAACACACACCGTCGTGCAGTTATTATTTTTTTTTTTTACTTAGCTCGCTCCACGACCGTGGCTCTGGATATAATAACAATATAAAATAGGTATCCAGATTGAAAAACCGTTTCCGCTCAGAATCGTTTTTCACATACAATGATATGATATCATTGATTCAAATATAATACAATCCATTATACAGTGACCCATTTGTAATCTACTATAGTTGTATAAAAGGGAGACAACCACTTAGCACCTTTTTTTTTTCCGCGGCGCTTTTGAATGACACAGGAAAATGTTTACCTCTTAAGTTTGCTTAGATTCATTTTTCCATTGAACAAGATACTGAAGTTGAAAATAAAAGCACTTTTACTGACCCAAAAAGTGATGGCAGGCACAAAAATAAAAAAATAAAAAACTCACATCATTGTAAAACCAATACATTAATTCAGCGCTTCTCTCAAAATCTAAAACAAGTTTCTAATCGGTTTTTATCTCATTATATTTTTGTAGGTTGATGAATGGTATCATCGAGTACGATCAAACAGTAACTTCACTTCCTAGATTTTTATTGATTCGCCAGCTTTCACCGACGAAGAGTTATTGGAACATAATTTTCATTTTTACCTTCATTTATTATATTTCAATGACAATACTGCTTTTGTACCTATGGCCGCCAAAGACCATAGACATATATTCTATCGGGCAAATGTATATTCGGATTGAGTTCGTCGTGGACGTTACAGTAATGTTTTCCTCATATTTTTTCCTACAACAATTGGAGCTTAGATTTCAAACGTTAAATGACTCTTGGGAATATCTTCTACCTGGATTTCTAGCCACTCCTGGTGATTTGACACAATTCATAACTGGACTGACGCTGGATAAGATACGGTTGCTACACTCTGAACTATCTGACCTCTTGAGACTATTCAGTGTGGGTTACGGAAGAATACTAATATGTTTCTTTGTATTCAGTTATATTAACATCCTGATTTGTTTTTATTATATTTTTCTGAGCCCTACAAATGATTTAATAAATAATGAATTCAATTTCAACAATCTCATAATAAAATGTATTCCATACATTTTCAGCCTGCAAAATGTCATATTCATTTTATCTGTTATTATTGCTGCTTCGAGAGTACACGAAAAGGTAACAAACAATTTTATATCTAATAGATATTTAATTTTAGTACCTATTTTTATTTGGATTGTTTAAGTTATTCGTTATGTATGTGTAGTCTGTATGTGTAGTATCGTTATTTACTAAATACCTAGTAAATACAGGTAGGCACCTTACACGTAAAGTTTTTTTTTTTTTAAATTATTTTAAAGTAAGACATTTCTAGCCTAAGGCTATCTATATCTAAGGATATTTGACAATATACCTACTTATTAGTTCTAACAGGTATTAACATGATAATTAAAAATATTTTTAAGTACTAAGGATAATTAACAAACGGGTATAGTAGGTTGAATTACTATTATAACTGTAAATTTTATTAAGTAATCAACAAGACCAGATTAAGATAATTCTGGGTCAGAAGCCTATACTGCCCATACTACGGAGAGACGAGAGTATCAAGTCGCCCGACGAAAACTCGTCTGATTCCGAGCATTCCCCACTACTCGGCATTGCCGATAGCTGTTCGGCGACGGTCGGCAGCGGTCGGCGCTATAAGGTCTATAGCGATCGGTGAAATAGTGGGGGAAATGGGGCCAATACATGCGCAAGACGAGAATACTCTCTCGTGGGTCACAGTATAATAATTGTTTATAATAATATGAATATTGAATATCCATTTTCCATAAGTAATAAGAAACCCGCACTACCCGCCAGGGGCCCACTATTGTTCGATATCCATTGCGGACAAGGGTTTGGTGATCACTGACAAATAATATAGTTATACTATTGATTTTATAATATACAGATAAGCCATTCCATGACAAATTAAATTTGCTATATTAAATAGTGGCAACCGATTCCGTGCTGTCAGCAGCTGTTGTTGTTGCTGTCAGCTCGGTGGGAAACTTACCTCGCCATAGTATCTGTTTTGGCGGGTGGCGGCTGGCGACCGTCGACGCCCGACGATATTGTTATTCAATATTCACGATATTTATTAATAAATTTGACGTCACAATATTATAATGCCTAAAATTATTATGATGACAACTGTATACAGTTTACAGTTGAACAGATCACAATAATATCACAAATAATATACTCTGTTCAGGAGTACCCAGTCGCTCGGACGAAAACTGGTTCTGTTCGCGCATGCATGGGGAGCGCTCTGGTGTGCCGACGCATGACCATCTGTATATAGACGGCGGCACGCTTCCGATCCGACAGTCGACGACAGCGGTCGACAATGCTGACCAATCACAGCGCATCTGCTGTCGCCTGGGGGGGTCTGACTGCTCTCGGCGGCTCAGTACGCATGCGCGATTTTGGGCACTCTTAACCTGAACAGAGTATAGACATTCGTAGTATAACCTCTCAAACAAAATAATATTATATTGTTTCCATGTACCATACAGTTTTATTATTTTAAATTTGAGATTTATATTTTATATTGTTTTAATAATGCCTGCCAATAAATGCCAGTATTTGAATTGCTTTAAAAATACTGTTAAGTATCCTGGACTAAGCATGTTTCGGTTTCCAAACGACAGAATAATATCGGAAATCTGGGAAATAAATTCTGGTACATAATATACTTGCAAGTTATTATTAATTATGTATTTTAAATTCATTTAAAAATATTAAACTATAAACAATATTATAAAATTAATGGTTATACCTATATCATGGTTGATGTTATTATTATTTGAAAATATTTATTCTAAACTACAATGAATTTCCAAATGTACAAAACTATATCACACAAAATGGACAAATTCAAAACAATTGATGACATTGTAATTTTTTTAATAACATACTTATATTTGCAGAAACGGAAGATAATTTCTAATTTGCGATTGATAAGGATTTCCAATTTAATACCAAACCTAAAGATCCAAGTAAATAAGATAATATGTGTAATTATATTATTTGAGTTAAATTATACTTCCTTAATTAAAGTATTAATTAATCGTATAATTTCTACCAAAGATTGAATAACTGTTATTAATTACAAGTTACATCATCATTGATATTATAATAATATTGTAATTATAATAGTACTTATGTTTTAGGTTAAATTCTTTATGAACCAAATATCAGTTTTTGAATCGAGTGAAATCACGGCTTTTGGCATTTTCAATATAAATTTAAATCTTGTTATGTCGGTTAGTATGAAATTCAGAAACTGTGTAATGATTTGTAGTTTTTGTTTTTAAATTTATACAATTAGAAAATTACATAATGATATAAAAAAATTTTTTTTCTTGCAGTTGCTAATATTACTTGTTACTGGTTTAGTAACATTAATACAAATGAAGGAACATCCAGTTATGTCGAAATGGAATGAAAATGGAATGAAGTTTCTGAAAAATTTGACAAATGTTAAATAAGGGAATATAATTTAACCCACGTTCGATTTATATCAAGTGCTATTTTGTATATCCAATCCACCACATATGAATAGTCCATTATAGTCGAATTAGTTCGAAAAGCGACAACAATTTTCATGTGAACTGAGGTGGGTAGGTACACCAAAACCAAGATACACTTAATATATTATGATTTACATTTTGTATTTTTTCATTTTTTCATTGGTGAAATCGGGTTACACAACTAAAATTGGATTTTGTTTATCTGAAATTAATAGCCTCAAAAAACGATAGCTTAATTTTTCAACTACTATATATAGGCTATATAGATAGCTATAGGGTAGTTCACACAGCCATACGTGATTTTTTTTCAGCTTATGAAAAAAATAAAAATATTTTTGTTTATCTTAATAGTTGCAATTGGTTACATATTATATTAATATTACAACTAGGAGAAATATGGTAGGTATATACATTTTGTACAGTTAATATATTTATTAAAAATACAAATCTTTGGCCCGGTCAAAGTCGGCGGGACAGCTAGAATTATATATTATAATATGTATTTCAATTTATCTGTATTAAGAAAATGTGAAACAACAATATAATTATTAATATTGAATTTACTTAAGCTAAAAAGGTACCTGAGCTGAATGAAATATAGTTTAATACTTTTTACCTTTTCGGGCTTTTTCTATAAAAGATTTTCGGCCATTGCCCATTAGGCTGGCCTGTATTACACTAGATAACTAAAGATATAATAGTAATTTTATAATATATTTATTATACATATACAATAAAAAGTTATGTCTATTGGTGCCTATCGCTCTAGCCCAATACCGAGCATCTACAACCTAGCATGTACACCTCCTCTCGATATAAAAAGACTCAAAATAACATTAAATCACGAATTAATGCTATAGCTAACACTCTCCCTTCGCTCGACTTCTATCCAAAATTCAAAACTTTAACAACACTACTCCAGGAGAACAATCTAGTCATCTCTGATTTATTAACTATTTCACCTCCCTTAACACCCCAATGGACAAATCTCAACGTAGCAAACACCGAACTCTCCATATTAAAAAAAAAAAGACACTCCTCCTTCAATCTATAAACAAGAATATTTCCACATAATACAAAACATAAAATGCGAAAAAATATACATGGATGCATCCAAAAGCCAGATCGGGGTCGGGGCTGCAGTTGTTTGGAATAACATGAAATTCATGTACAAACTCCACAGCTGAAGCATTCGCAATAATCAAAGCCCTCGATTTAATAACCGATCGCCATCTCCAAGACACCATCATCTTTACTGACTCCCTCAGCGCCATCAATAACATTAATAATACTAATAACCCATCAGACATCGGCCGTCATATTCAAAACAAAATATACACTCTACAGAAAATCAATAACTTCAAAATCAAACTTTTCTGGATCCCTGGACACTCCAACATCATTGAAAACGAGCGCGCCGACCTAGCTGCCAAAACGGCAGTCACCTCTACACTATCGTCTCCCACTAATATCATCGCATGCAGGGACATACAAGCACTGATAACTAACAAATGTCATCTAAGATGGCATCAGAAATGGTTATCCTAATCCACTAAGCTAAATCAAATAAAACACAACACAGACAATTGAAACATCCAGAAAATTCGAAGTCATCATAACGAGACTGAGAATTGGCCACTCGCAAATATCACACAGTTTTTTAATGGTCAAGGAAGACCCTCCAACATGCGGCGTCCAAATTACCATTAAACACATACTCACCGAATGCCGCACATACCTCAACATCCGATCAAGCCTCAACCTGCCCGAACCACTTTCCGAAATACTTCAAAATCATCACAAGGCCATAACAGACATCATCCAATTCATCACAGCGGCAAACCTTCAATCTAATATCTAAAATTAAGTTCTCTTGTATACGTATCCATATTGTTAACATTTAATTTAAGTTAAAAATATTATGTAAGCCCAATGGCCTATGCTGCCGAGGGCTCTTTTAATTAAAAAAAAAAAAAAGTTATAATTCAGCCCAGTGTCACAATATTTAAGAATTATCTTGTTCATATAAATTAATTTATATTTATACATCTATTGTACCTACTTGAGTAACCGTATTCAAATACCATTTTCTAAACCGGCTGCAATACGATTGCGCGCGGTCCTTATATCAGCGGTACCTTTTTAGGCGTACGATTGAGCGTGCTAAATTATTTTTACTTCTAAGTTCTAAGCAACGGTGACAAATACACAGATTATTTTTTTTTCGATATCTATTCGAATATTTAATATTATTTCATTATAACGATTTTTTTCTAATGAATATTTTTTCGAATTTTTTTTTTGATACCTATTCGAATATTTAATATTATTTTATTATAACAATTTTTTTTTTTGAATATTTTTTTATTTATAATAATTGTTATGTTCCTTTATGAGGTAGACTGAGTGAGAATATAAAGATCTGTTTTATTTTGTGTTATAGATTTAACGAAATGTTATTTATCTATTCGAATATTTAATATTATTTTATTTTAACTATTTTTTATTATTTGTATGTAATGTGATTTTGTATCGAAATTGATGATTTTCAATCGTGTACCAATTAATATTGTTTTTTTTTTTAATTTTTTGACCTAAAAATTGAATTTAGAATATATCACTGGGCTAGTCAAAAATTTGTTAGGTTATTAAAATAATAATTATTTTATATTTAAATAATAATTTGGCAACGTCGCATCCAATTTCACTCGCAATCGTACGCTTTTTAATAGTAAAAAGCATGATTATTTGTTATTCCGGCACCGTGCTCAATCGTATGCCTAAAAAGGTAAAACCGCGCGCAATCGTACTCCACCGTCTAAACCAAGTATTTAAAAAATTATTTCAAATACTCTCTTGGACGTATTTATATTTAAAAATCGAATACTTTTCAAAATTTAAAAGAATTATTCATCACATTTCAGATTGTTTTTTGATAATCATTATATTATAATTTTACTTGTAATTAAAATCAAATTATGAAACACTAATTTATTTTTTTTTTTTTTTCATTTATCATTAAACCCTGCAACTATGGAAATTAGCTGTTTTGTTTTTTGTGAGTTTGTAGTACTGTTGGTTTGTAATCACGTGTGGCAGATTTTTTAGTGGGCACCCTTGGGTATCTGCCATGCCCGGGTGGAGGATAGCGTCACTTCTCTCCGGCACCGTGACTTGCCCGAAGAAAAATTCCGCTTGTGAACTGAGGTTTGAACCACTCCGTCCCCCTTCTTCATTTTATTTTTCATTAACCACCGACTATTGTTTGACTAATATTAAAGTATTTCAGAGCAAATATTATATAATAGCATTTTTATTTAATTTCATTGTTCAATAGAAAATTAAGTAGGCATTACAAAGTTTTAAATTTATTTTTTAAATGTGACATTACAATAATTAACTACAAAATTAATTTTCTTACCGAATTGTACAGTTAAAAAAGTATTTAAAATTCAAACGAATGCATATATTTGTGTTGGCTCTTAAAAACTTTTTCTTAAAAGTTAGAACTATTCGAAATGTGTTTAAAATACTCCCTAAATGGATGTATTTTAATTTGTAGTGGTTTAAACACAATTTTAAAATTATTGTTTACAAGACTGCAAACTTAACCACCAAAATCAAAATGCTAATTTCGACTTCAGGGATAGTTCATATCTAAAGGACATTTTTTTAATTGTAGGTGAAAATGTACCTATTATTGAAGGAATTAAAAGACATTTTATTTTTGGTTAATAATTTGGTTAGTTATTGGATCACAAATACATTTTAAATATAATATTCTTCTTCGTTCGGCAAAAGTAGGCAAGTCAAGTACTAACCACTACTTTATAGGGTCATAAGTAAAAATTCCTTATATAAGCCTTAACTCTTTGAGGGGCCGTGGTTAGTATGCTAACCACTTTTTTTTACCGTTCAGGTGCGGTGGTTACTATTTTAACCACTTTTAAAATTATTTTTAATATTTTTTGATGATGGTCAGCATACCAATCACCTTATTATCATCTTATACATGCATCAAACAATATCACTGCCGCTGGTCTGATATCATTTCTCGCGTTTTTCATCATTTATTATCATTAACAATATTTTGATATACGTACTAAATGTTATGGTAAAGAGACATATTGCCCACATGGGTCTTTTTTCTAAAGGAAATTTTCGCCCCTCAAAGAGTTAAACATTGGAAAAATCAAAACAACAATTTTATACAAAATCGATTTTCATATTTTGTTGTACTTATGTCAAAAACGAATAACCGTAAATGCTTGAAAATGTCACCAGATATTTCTAATGGTATTTTCTATTCATGGTAAAATATTGTTGAGCTATTTAAACAGACATCAATTTATTGAAAATAATGAAGCTCATTGTCAGCCTCTTATATCCAAAATTCCGGTCCAAGTTATAAAATTAATGATAATATTTTTTCTTGATTTTCATAATATTTTTTTCTACATTTTTTCGGTCTTCATAAATCTTATAAGTTCAAGTAGATCAATATTTTCATTCGTTAATTATTATGTTTCGATTGTTTCATAAGTCTTTCAGCGTATAATCATGTGTCATATTGATATTATGTAATATTATTTTTAGTAGATTTGACAATAATATTGTATACTAATTGCGAATCAATGTTGATGATAGTCATACGTAATGATACGAATAGCAATGAAGATAAACGTAGGGTACCTAATCGCAACTTTTCATTGTAAATTGTTAATAATAATGTTTGAAAAAATCGATATGAAGTGTAGTCAAATTTATACGCGTCAATATCGTAGATAAGCGTCCAATTTATTGTCTTGCGTCGAAATGACAGTATCTATTTGAAGTGGCAACTTGTGTGTTATATAAAGATACGTTTAAAAATATCTATGTATTAACATGTAAGAGATAGTTGGTACCTAGAATAACTATTTAGATGGAAATAAATAACATGAAAGTTGTATCTAGTTAAAAAAAAAAAATTTAATTTTCTAAAATTAAGTGAAAAAGTGTTGTACCAATACGTTCCTAGATATTAAAATGATAGTGTGATTGATTCAAGCCGAATAAATAATATTTATAATAAATATATTAATTAGTAATTACCATTTTTTGGTTTTTCTACTATAGCTCAAAAAGTAAGATTGAGGGTAAATTTTTAAAATACCATATTGGACGTCGTAACATGAAAGTTAAAAATAGTTTATTAATTACTTACATTTCTACATACTACATAGTTTCACCCAATTAATATTAACACTCGATAATATCATATCATATAATATCTTATTTTGTTTTTATCAAATTACAAAATAATGAATACAAATCAACTGAACAATTTATTATAAATTATAATTAAACAATTAATATAGGTAACATACAACAGTTAAATAAATATTTTGAAAACGCTCAAACAAATTAATAACAATAATACAATTATTGACACAATTTCTAATTATTGGATACCTTCATTCTTTTAGCGTATGGCCGTGCGTATGGTCTATGTATGTGCCTGGAAGGTCTCCTATGTTACAACACAAATATTATATTGTCAATATTAATTGAAATTAAAATCCACCACAATTAGCAAGCGGTATATTTCAATATTAATAATAGAAAGTATATTTTATAATCACAGTTCAATTTACAATAATATGTAAATTTGTGTTCAAAAGGCTGGAATACCGCTTTGTGTAGAGTTTTTACAAAAATAGGTATGTATAGTATGTTTGTACAACTTCGGTGGTATATTATGATTGTATGGACATATTAATACTCACAAAATGTTCCTTTTCGGATTCTTTTATTTTGCGTTTATCGTCTGATGACAAACCCTTTAACATTACTACAATGAGGTCAATGGAATCCACCTAATAATACAGGTATAATATTGAATTTAATTTTACATCATAGGCTGATACTAATTTCTGTTTTCTACGTTATTTGTCTAATATTAGTACTTAAAATTGTAAAATAATTAAATTATAGACTCATTATATATTGATTGGTTCATAACGATATTATCATAATTTCGTAAGTATTAGACACCTAATAAGTTATGATACTGTTGGTGGTCTCAATAATAAGTCATAAAACTGTTGTGCACCAAAATTACCTGTTTAATAAGAGCTTTGTGAGTCGGTTGGGTCATTTCTGAGTCGCAATCTTCCACAATTGGATCATGCTCTATGCCAATCATTTTAGTAATCGGTCGAAAATTGTTCGACGGCAAAGACGTACACAGTTCCAAATCTCCAGTAGTCTCCAGTATTTTCATCCGTTCGTTTATCTTTGATACGTTTCCGCTACTGACTACTAACAACCTATTTGGAGTTGTATATTTTGTCGAGGCACTTTTATGTCGGCTAATGATTCATCTGCCACCGTAGTGTCTGGATGTGACTCGACTGGATTCAGTGCCTCGACTCCAATCAAGGCACTGACTCAAGTCGAGGCACTGACTCCAGTCGAGGCACTGACTCCAGTCGAGGCACTGACTCCAGTCGAGGCACTGACTCCAGTCGAGGCACTGACTCCAGTCGAGGCACTGACTCCAGTCGAGGCACTGACTCCAGTCGAGGCACTGAATCCAGTCAAGTCACATCCAGACACTACGGTGGCAGATAAATCATTAGCCGACATACCAAACCAGGCTAAAAAGTTATTGCTCTTCTGGTGCTTTAGGTGGTATCCCCGTTTATTATTCCTTTTCCGATCAATTGAAGCTATTTGATTGAAATAGTAAAACACCACCTCTCTTTGATCTACTATTGGTAAGGGGATGTCCACCTTAACTAGTCGTTTTTTGAAAGTCTAGTATGTCTTGATAGTGAAACCATGCCTTGTTTGAAGGCCTGGAGGTCCTGGCTTTCCAGCTTCCTTCGCGTGGCACGATACAATACATTATGCAAATTGTATAATAAATTATAGAAGAAACGTTGAAAATCAGTTGAACAGTTCAATGCTTTATGTAGAGTGATTAATACCAAATGGATTTTTGTTTTTTATGCATTGTTTATTTCCGGTTTCTATGTTGGTCTACAACAAAATACTCGTTGATTTAATTTCGCCGTTGAATATTACACAGATGTATGCTTAAATATTGTTATAATAATGTATATTAATATAAAGAACTCGAAAATCACTGCACGTCATAACATGAATCGGGAGTGGTACAACAAAATTTGTAGAGACGCAAAACATTATACTTATTATGACATGATGCGCGTATATTGTATAATATTATATAATGCCTGCTCAACATAGAAAATTTAATTTTAGCGGAATTAATTTCGTGTTTTTAGTTTTATTATTACAGTATTTACTATCAAATATTTTGAAGGTAAGGATATTTCCGTATTCTTTCGGTGGTTTTTTTTATCTTCATTTACTGAAGTCATGCATTGGCAAACTATTTCCAAAGTCCTAAAAAAGCATTAATATTGTTATTACTTATAAGTTATTTCTTTATGTATGAAAATATTTAAATCTCAAGAATTCAAATTAGAAGAACTTATCTGATTGTTTAAAAATAAAACCTTAAGTTGAAAGTATAAAATCTAATTTAAGAACAATTATATATTTCTATTTAATAATGTCTATGAATAAATCGTAATAAAATTATTTAAAAATATACTTGCAGAGAGTTTGTTGCTTTATTTAATAGTATAATATTACCTATGTCTGAGTGGTACTTACATTTTATGTAAGTATTTTACCTCAAGTTACAAATTGCAAAAGTTTTATCAATAAAAGCATTTGGAAATTGTAGTTTCAGCTAATAAACGTAACATGTAACGTTTTATTAATCTTGTTAAATTAATGTAGTGATTTTATATAATATACTTTACTTTGTTGTTCAAGAAGTAATACTATACATTTTTGTTTAAGCACGTTATTAACTGTAATAATATACCAAAAAATATATTAATAAAAAAATAATCTTATATTCTACTTAAAAACCCGGTATACTTATATACATTTTTATTATTTTAAAACCCTATTATTTTACAAGAAAATATTGTGAGTAGTGAGTTAATACTCAAACCTTATCATTACTACGTATAATTTATGAAACCTCTGTTATAATATTTATTGACATAACTACTTAGTATATTGGCTTAGTTTGATGAACAAAAAGCAATGTCTTCTGACATTGCTCAACTCGAAGCAGAATAATAGGTACTGTTATTATTATTAATTTAGGCAATAAATAATTATTTTTGAAAAACGAGTACGGTTTTAATGAAATATGATTTTATATAATATCCTACCAATCATTTTCAATAAAACTATTGGGACTTACTCATTGTTAAAATACCCGAGGTAAGGTTTCTGTCAGATTCCTACTCTACGTGACTACGTGTTATTGTTGAAATTGAAACTTGAGGACATTTAAGATTTAAGTATGTATTTATTTTAGATAATAACCAAATTTTACCAAAATTCGGCTGTGAAACATATACATAATGTAATACAATTACAGTTAAATTCTGAATTTTTTTTAAATTTCTTTTTTCTTTTGAAACTATGAGCTACATCGCCAATTACGACATAAATACCAGAACGCACATTTTCTACAATGAAAATATTAAAAAACTATTTACGAAACTTATCAGACTAAGTAGGTACATCTTACAGATCTTTTAAGTGTACCTAGATAAATTGAAATCAACCCAGATGATTGTTTCGCAAAAGAAAAAAAAGACTGCTGCAGATTTTATACTGTACTAAAATATTTAATTTAAAACTGTATACATTTATCAAAAATGTAAACAACATAATAGTTTGTTTTTGATTATGAAAATATATGATTTGGTTATAAACCCATTCCGAAAATTTGCTACAGCTACATCATTGCTGTGTATGCCATGATTTCACGCGTCTGAAATGTTATTATTTCTTAAGGTCAAAAAACACTGCCAAGTATTTTATTAAGAAAGTTTTTGCTATTCAAAAAAAATAACATTAAATATAACTTTAAAAATAACTTCTTTTTCACAATTCCAAGTAATTAAATAAAAACATTTTCTTGACGAAGGAACATTTTTTTTTTTTATTATTTATCAATATTGCTGTGTTCTACCTTAGACAATCATACAATTAAAAATTATAATATATATTATAATATAGTATTAATGTTTAAAAATAATTTAGGGAATAAATAAAAAATTCCTCGATCTAACGAAGCTAAAATATGCTGAGATGACACTATAATATTTGTGCATAAAACACCGTTACCTGCGCAAACGCGAGACAGTCTCGCTGGGAGCATACTAGTTGCGTCCGAAATTATTATCTGTAGGTAAGTTGAGTTTTATAGGTAATAGATTTTAGTGACACGATACTATCGGTTTTAATAGATAACATCGACAATAATTATATAACACATTTGCGTCCTGTAAACGGGACACAAGTTGTAGATCAAATCTACTACCTGAAAAATATACCTTTTTTTGGGACTCAAGTAACATGCAGCCGTCCCGCTGTTGTCGTGGAACTTGGCGGGAGCTTAAGTGCGCGACGGTCGTAAGCGCCACGCGGGTATAAGCGACAACTGTGGCACGGGCCAAGTATTCTGTTATATGATTGTTTTATGGTTTTAAACTTGCACAAATAAAAGTGGTTTTGACCAAAAATTGTCTTCAAGTTTTATTTCAGGCTTTTGTGGTGAATTACACTTTTGGAAAAGGTACCAAGACACTGTATATAGTATCTGCTTAATTTCTCCTCCAGTATTCGTTATCGTGGTTCAGTCGAGAAAGAGTAAGGCTTTGTCTAGGTTAAAGAGAATGTCCCCTTCGAACATCCAGTAGGTACTCGTTATCGGTGCAACTCGTTTGCGCACAATCCAAATTGTTTACCTAGATATCGATGACTCGTTTGCGCACAACGAATACCGTCGTTAACCTAAAAACGGACGACTCGTTTGCGCACAACATAAACACTGCATAACATATATTTTATATTTTTAAATTTGGACTAACTTAAGTAATTGATTATCAGTACATCAGCATATCAATATTCAATATATCATTATCATCATTGAAAATAATCGACGTGTATTAAACATAATATTTTTAAGCAGTCGTTCTCCAGAAAGCGGTACTACCTACTGACTAGTGACTATGGATATCGAAATTTGTGATATTTTTGAAAGAGAATTTCGAACTTTAAAATCTAGTGATACACATTTTAGGTGTACAAATAAAAAATGTTCCTTGAGTGATGTAGTAAGGTTAGTTAATAATAAAAAAATATAAAATTTTAAAAATTAAAAACACGCATAGAACCACTATTACTTCTTATTAATTGTATAATTATATATTTATTCAGAACAGACACACACGACATGCACATTTTTAATCTGTACAAAACAGATGGTCATAAGCCTATATTAAAGTGAGAAGAGAAATGTGCTGTTCTGCTCAAAGTGAAATGTGCGCAAATGAGTTGTACCTTTATAATTTAAACCCAAAATATGTGTGCGCAAACGAGTTGTGATTTTGTGCGCAAACGTGCCGTAAAAAAGGTAAATGTGCGCAAACGAGTCGCACCCCTCGTTATCGTAGTAAGCTGTTCGAGAGTAAGGTAACCTTTGAGTTGTAGAATGTAAATCCTGGTAGACCTTTTTTAATTATCATTTTGTGCAATACTCGTTATCGTGGTCACCAAAAGAAGAATTTAACTAAGCTTTTACAGCAGGTGCCGATATTTTACTCGTTTGTCGATTTGGGAATCGGATACCGCAATATAATATATGTTATATAATACATATACACATATACACATATGTGTACACGTATACAATACACAATGAAGTACCTAGTCAATTGCTATAACTATTTAATGTAATCTGAATCCCAACCCAACTTAGATAGAGGTAATATTAAAATGTAGGTACATGGTTTTATTTTGATTTAAAAAGTATTTCATTCAAAGATAGATCATTTCATTAGATAGATCCTACCTAATGGCTAATAATGTAATCGGAAATGTCTCCTACACGGCTAGACCGATTGCGATGAAATTTGGTACAGGGCTAGATTAGACGTCTGGGAGGAAGATAGGCTAATTAAAAAAGGGTAAATTCCAACACAGGATGGTCAAACAGGGATTATGAAAATCTTAGTCATAAAATACTTAGTCACAGTTTTTTTTTATAAGCATTTAAAGTAAAAAAATTGACAAAATATGGAAAAATCACGCAAATTGAAATTCGTTTGAAATGTTTGAAAGCGTTTGAAATTCAAATTTTTACAACATTGAATATTCACTCGATTTCTCATGTAGCGATTTTCTTATTTTGTAGATATATGAAAATTTTACTGAATGTTTATTTTATCAATTCTTATACTTGATAAAATGTTAAAAATATTTTGACTTGTTTTGAGCTGTTTACGGACAATTTCATATTTTATTTTTACATTTTTTTCCTATGAATATCAATAAAGTTTTATCTGTTAGGTCAAAAAGAGTAAAAGTTTAATACAAGGCTCCTAATATATTGTTACAATAGCAGTTGCAAAATATTAAAAATACATTGGCACAATTTTTTTTTATAAGCATTTAAAGATCGAATTTTGACAAAATATTTCAAATTTAAATTGAATGATTATTTTGTAGTTAAAAATTTATAAAATGTTCAACTTTTATATCTAAGGATTGAAAATTTAAACAAGATTCCACGTAAATAGTTAATTCTGTTACCAAAAAATCTAAAAAATACATAAC